CGTGCTACCACTGAGATTTTTTTTTAAAACACACTAATACTTTGCCCGAACCGGGAATCGAACCCGAGACCCCTTGCCTGGCAGTCGCACTTGCGACTACTCGGCCAAAGAGGCAGTAGCAATGAAGCATGTAGGTAGGTATGTAGTCATTAAATGATATTCCACGCTCAAAAAAAAATAAAGGTAGGTATGTACGTAATTTATAAAACATATCAGAATGAAAAGACAAAAATATAACAAGTCCCCAGGAAACAGTTACTCAACCCAACAATTAACTTATCTTTAACTGGTTAATTTTATGATAAGTGACAATTATATTTAAGTGACACCCTAAATCAAGTTATGCAGGTTTAACAAGAAATACCGGATACACAGTTTGAAGGTAAATAACTAAATACACAATATATCTATAGAAAGGAAATGACTTGACTGTCTCAGTCAATCGGTTGCATATACGACTTCCGAGGCTATATTTTTGCGTTTTACCTCCGAGCATGGTGGCAATAAAAATTGGTTGAAACTGATCTTTAGCTAAAATCACTTGATATGACTAGGTTAATTCCTTACTAGGTGTTGCCCGCAACTTCGTCCGCCGTTTTATCTCATGGGAGCATTTTATCGGAATAAAAAGTATCATATCACCTAAGTCAGCCTATACCCTGCCTGTGTCGCGAAGAACCTAACGGGTAACCGGGGCTCCGGCTTGACGTGCAGGATAAGGAACGGGGTGGTTTTTAGTCAGTAAGAGTCTGACACTCCCTCCCGCCTCACCTAGGCGGGAGCAGTCATTCGAGGATTTTCCCGCCTTAAAAAATAAATACCCTGCCTGTATATCAAATTTAATCAAAATCCATTCATTAGTTTCAGCGTGATGACGGACAAACATCCAAACAAAGAAACTTTCATAAGTCAGGCGACATCGACAAAATAACCTAGCTGCTCATCTTTTGTAAATGCCATTCAAGAGAGAAAAAAAAATCTCTTGCAATTATGTGCTCTTCTCTACAAAAGATGGGTTTGCCCTAATAGCCATGCTTGGCAAATGTAATGAAGATGAATTTAAGAGGAGAGACAGACAAGTTATAGTATAAATAAGTAACTTATAATCATTTTGGTTACTATAGGAGCTCAGTCACCCGGATCTGGTTTAACTCGTCGAGTACCGTATTTATAGACACAATTAAAGAACAATAGGTCGCGGTCACCGGTGACCGCTTGGTGTTTGACAGTTTAAGGACTAAAATAAAATTCTTCACATAATAAATATAAGATAAAACAAACAAGTAATCTAACGCAATGCCAAAGTTTTTTAATACAATAATAAACCTTTGTATTGTCTACACGTGTCACTTAGCCGGTTTCTAGTTTTAATTTTTAAAAATAATTAATGTTTTTATAATAATGAATGTTTATTATTTTTGTTTCCATTACAGTGACAATTGGGATGATGGCAGGGTATGAAAATTAAAAATTTAATTAGTTGCTAATGAAAAAATATTTGACACGTATTTTTTATTTTGTCGTGTATAATAAAACAATACGTCATTTTCTACGTATAAAATGTACATAGAAGTGACGTCACGCGACATTTCAAATCAATATATCGTCGAAAGTATTCATTTCTGTAAGAAAATAAAAAATACGTGTCTAATGATTTAAAATAATCTACCAGACGGACATTAAAATAAAAATTAGGCATCAACCCTATTATACATATACCAAGTTTTATGAGATTTTGAATGTATAATACCAATCAATAAAACCAGTCGCAGTTCAATGAACGCTATGTAAAGAAAATTATTTCAAAATTAATTTAAATAAAAATAGTCAGCGTCATTAAATTCTGGTCTTTATTACATGTACAATTAGGTATGTAGGTATGCTATGCGTAATTTGAGCCAGCTATGTAAACAATAATAATAAAAGGTGTTTTTTTTAAACGAATTCAAAATATAGGAGGTTGTCACGTTGACCTGTATGAGTATTTTTTTAAGGGTGGAAAATGATCTCAGACTCTTACTGACTAAAAACCACACCGTTCCTACTCCTGCCCTTTGAGCCACACCCCCAGCAACCCGTTAAGTCCTTCTCGGCACCCGTATGTGTCTACATGTATAAATTTTTGTGCGCAATTATTTCGCCTTTAGCTAAACTGATATTGACACGGTTTTTGAAAACGGTTTGTTACACTTAGGAGAAGGTATATTAATTAACAAACTTCAATAAAGAAGAAATTGAAGTAGTTTTTTTTTTAAATGTAGTTTATAATTATGTAGGAAATATTTTGTGCTTTTCGTCTCATGCCTTTTACATTGTCATAAAAGATATACCTACACCCAAAAACTAATCATTTATCGAAAGACAGACAGCCGCATTTATGAAGTTAGCGATTCTCAATCTTACTGTCAAGTGTGGGCATTATGGCAAGGCATTATCCCCTAACAAGAAGGAAGACTTTTATTCAGCAATCTACTCAAGAATTTACTAACTCCTCAACATAATTAAGTGGTATTGCTCTTTTCTCAATTTTATTCTTATATGTCACATATTACATCTTATATACTCAAATATATCACTGTTTTGTACTACGATTGGTACAAAAATTAGTGGTTATAGATATTAGATATATATCATCAGCTATCTTACTTCTGCCAACAGGTTCACTCGTGTTCTCGTAGAATAAAATTGCGTATTTGTTATTCCAAGCCATATTCTACCCATGTTCCAAATTTCATGTCGATCTCTTCAGCCCTTTTTACGTAAAGGAGTGACAAACAAACAAACATTCGAATTAGTAATGTTAGTAGGATACGTAAAACACGAAATCTTTACTATTACTTGTGTAGTCTAAAGCACTTGCATTTAAAATTATGACGACATTTGCGCATGATATTTCAGTTTCATTAATTACTGTTAGTCAGGTTTTTAATAATAAGTTGTTTAATTCTATTGTTAAAATTATAATATGTAATTTTGAAGTGTTTTCCTTTACTTTATTACTATGTTAATAGTGTTTATAATAATGTTATTGTTATTTTGTCATAATAATGACAGCCACATCATAGGAAAAAGGACAAAAATTGTGCCGATTCCGTCATTATTCAGTAATAACTTATTTGTACAAAGTGTTTTTTATTCCCGTAAAAGGCGGTAAACTAGCAGACGGATCGCCTGATGGTAAGTAATCGGCGTCTTCCATGGACACCTGGAACACCAGAGGCGTTACAAATGCTTTACCGGCCTTTTGGTGATTAGGAGTTTGAGGATCGTTGGTATTTCAGGGATTGGGAGATTGGGGAAGCGAGGGGAGGTAACCTCAGTCACACGATAAAACACAACGCAAGCGTTGCTTCACGTCGGTTTTCTGTGAGGCCGTAGTATCGCTCCGGTCGATCGGGGATCCGGATGTATCTTTAAGTAAGGCCAAGTTAAACCAATTTCGACTAGTATATTGAAAAAAGATAAAGTTTAATGTAATAATTAAAAAAACAAAATAAACTTGGCTCAATCTCTTCCGTACACCTTTATAAAAAAAAAACGTTTGCGTAAGATATATTATTATATTCTAAATAAGAAAAAAAAATAGTATAATGTTAATTAGCAGTAATAAGTTGTAATTAAAAAAACTACCTACACTTAAATTATTTACTAGGAAATGGTTCCTGAAGCGTAACCTTCAAGTATGATTAAAATGTGAAACAATGTGTAAATATTTTTTATTGTTTAATACTATATTTAAATGATGTACGAAAAACCTAACTTAGAAGGAGATCTAATACCTATCTGACATTGAATACTGCATCGGATCTGATGATGACAATGACGATCATGTTGAACAAACGAATTAATTAGATCAAGTACAGTTCAAAAGAGCATAATAATATTTTGATAAAAAAAGACAAAGGGCAGACAAATCAAAAAATAAATGTATTCTTTTACATAACATAACATCATGCCTTTTTATCCCCGAAGGGGTGGGCAGAGGTGCACATTATACCACTGTACAATGTAACACTCACTTTTCACTATTTATGTTATGAGTCCCATGTAATAGGGGGTGAGCCAATTGCCATTATACCGGGCACAATTCCAGACTCCGTGCTACTACTGAGAATATTTAAAAAACTCAGTAACACTTTGCCCGACCCGGGAATCAGACCCCGACCCCGTCCCCGGCAGTGGCACTTACGACCACTCCACTAACGAGGCAGTGTATTACTTTATTATTACATTTATAACAGTATCTAAATAATACATGGTTAAGTTCCACCAGTAGCATATAAGTGCTTAGTTCCTTGTACTCTAGGCCAGACTTAAATGTGACAGCAAGGTTATAAGAAAAGGCTTGCAACCATATCTTGATTCGATATTTTAACACGATGACCTAAAAGGAGTGTAATGGTATGCAAGTGACCTTTAGAAACAAGCATATGCATTAATTTTAAAATTACTTTTGATTCAAGATTAGAACATGTGGCGTGAAAGTGTCTAACATTAAATTATGTATTAGAATGACGTGTGTTTTAAGGTATATACACTAAATAACTAACTAATAAATTACTGTGTTTATAATAATCGAATTACTACGTATTATATTTTTATGGTCCAACGATGCTCAAAAATTTCATTAAACAGTGACGCATCAACATCTTCAAGCACACAGAAGCAACATTGTTACGATTCAAGAAATTCGGAAATAAATAAATTGGAGGTCATAATAATATGAAACGTGCAAAATAATGATATGAAAATAACAACTACATGAGTAACAAATGCCTGAAAGAGGGGGAACGGAACGAAGGTATTATATTAATTGCTCATAAAGATGTTGGTAACCTTAACAGTCTCATTTCGCGAACGCTGTTTGTTCGTTTTCGTTGAACTTGGTCATACTCTACCGTGCTTCCAGGTGTATTAGCATAATTTAAACCAGTTTCTTGACTCTAGTATATTTGTGAGTCTTGGATTTTTATAATGCTTTAATTGTTCGTTGCGATAAGATGTTGCCTGTGTTACTGTTCTTAGCTGTGTTTTGTGACGTGCGTGCGGCGTTGTTCTACGATTCTTATTATGGAGTACCTATTGGCATGGATGAAGTGAAACGTCACTCTAAAGCTAATACTACTTTGTGAGTTGTATTTTTTTTATTTTTATACGCAATTTTGTTTTTGTGAATCAGGAAAATATATTTTTCATGATGTTGGAGATAATTTGTATCTTTAATGAAATTCAGGGTGTATTATTGTGTGTAGTGATTGTGTAGTGAACTAAAAAATATAACTGTTATCCTTACTAATATTATAAATCGGAAAGTGAGTTTGTTTGTTTGTTCCGATTTCACTCCGTAACTACTAAACCGATTGCATTGAATTTTTGCAGACGTAAAGTTAGAAGTCTGGATTAAATAATAGGGTACTTTTTAATTTTAAAAAATTTGATATTACCGAGGGAAAACAAAAGTATTGGTATAGATGGCGCTGTATGTATTGGTATATGTCACATAGGCTACTTTTTATCCTTTGGGACGCGAGCGAAGCCGCGGGTAAAAGCTAGTACTAACTAAGGGAGAAGTCTGTGTTCAGTGGTGAATATCTTCTGGCTGATGATGAATCCTTGTTAGAGTTTCACAAAAAATATCTAATAGAAACACGAACAAACGGCGAGTAACAAAGCGTTAGGTCCAATCACAACATAGTAAAAATACTTTGATAGCAGTAGATTTGAATTTAGAAAAAAGTCATTCTTCTTACATATCTTTGTGATTAGATATATTTACGACTAGGTAACATATAAAAGAGTAACCTATGGAGTTTCTTGCTCATTCTTCGCTACAGGAATGTACTCGTTGGACTGAGCAAATAACTTCATTTTAAATCTTTTCCTGGTCTAATTGAAATACATAAGAATTTTAATCTTGACTTTGATTTTGACTTTGGTATAAACAATGAGCAAAAATTACGATTTACAAAGAGTTTTTGCAAAAGCAATAACTAAATTTTAACAATTTATTTTTCTTAACCAATTTTCCTTTCGTGTTTTGTTTTGTAATTGTTATGTACATGCATGCACTGCGAATACTTTTATTAAATGTTTATCATGGAAACATTTGAATGATTTTTATTTCATTACTATTTTATTTTAGGTATTTAGTTACGTCCGTATAACATAACATTACATCACGCCTTTTATCCCCGAAGAGGTGCACATTATGCCACTGTACCTCTACAATATAACACCCACTTTTCACTACTTATGTTATGAGTCCCATGTAATAGGGGGTGAGCCAATTGCCATTATACCGGGCACAGTTCCAGACTCCGTGCTACTACTGAGAATATTTAAAAAAATCAGTAATTCTTTGCCCGACCCGGGAATCGAACCCGAGAATGTACATTATGCCACTGTACAATATAACACCCACTTTTCACTGTTTATGTTATGAGTCCCACGTAATAGTGTGTGCTTCGACTGACTTTTTGCTTTGTTAATAACACTATTGTGCTTCGATTTCGATTTATGTGTGCTGGGTTATGTTATTTACTTCCCAAGTGGGGTTTTATATTTGAATATGTAATTATGGCAATTAACTGTTTTGTATAAAAATTAGATAACAACAAACTAACGAAAAATGTTGATAATATTTCGAGACATAAAATATAAAAAACAACTTGGTTCCCTTTCCTTGGTTTTAAAGACAATTGCTGACAGTGAAACATTTAAGGGATCTTATTATTTTTTATGCAATAAGTAATAACCACTAAACGTGCACTGCTCAACATAGATTTTCCATAAATATTGTAAGAAAAAAAAAACAGAATGTGACTAAAGAATAAATAAATAGGTTTATTTGAATTTTCGTTTATAGTTGGTGCGTTAATGAGTTTGAGCCATGTGACCCCAATGAAGGCAGGCGAGTGGACGGTACCTGTAATAATATAAGGTACCCTAATAGGGGTGCTAGCCACACCCCATTCACCAGGGTTCTACCACCGGTGTTTGACAAAGGTAATCAATTTTAAAACTTATTATTTTGTTCTTATAATCTCCCCAATTCCTGAATCCTCAACGATAACGCAGGCCGGTAACGCATTTGTAACGCCTCTGGTGTTCCAGGTGTCCATGGGCGACGCCGATTGCTTACCATCAGGTGATCCGATTGCTTGTTTACCGGCTTATGCCAAAAACAAAGCTTGCAATAATTAGGAGATAATAAATATAGGTACTTAATTAAAACTGGATCACGATAGAAAAATAAGAAGACTGTTTTCGGTAATTATATAAGTGTAGGAGAACCATGCTTTGGCACGAATAGGCCGACTCGACCGGAGTGATACCACGGCCTCACAGAAAACAGACGTGAAGCAACGCTTGCGTTGTGTTTCTATGTGTGGGTCAGTGATCTAACAGCGACCTATAATTATAGTTTTTTCATATAAAAATGATAATAAATATAACACCTAATAATATTTATATTATAGTAAGTTAGTAGTAACATAACATCACGCCTTTTATCACCGAAGGGGTAGGCAGAGGTGTACATTATGCCACTGTACAATGTAACACCTACTTTTCACTATTTATGTTATGAGTCCCATGTAATAGGGGGTGAGGGTGAGCCTATTGCCATATACCGGGCACAATTCCAGACTCTGTGCTACTACTGAGAATTTATAAAAACCCAGTAGTAGTTCGCTTAGTAGTAATTTATATTATATAATGATTCTAAATTAGGCATTATCTCCGTTTTAAATCTAATGTGACATTTTAATACATCCTTTGTGTTGTTTTTTCATAAAGTTGTAAAATAAATTTTCGAAGTAATGACGTATTTGTTTTATGATATTATTCAAATTATACCTAATAATCTTGTGTATAACATAAGCAATTTATTTCTGACCTACAATCTAAATTGCAATAATAATACAGGTATTTGTATTTTTAAACAAATTATGTTCTTAGGGTTAACAGTTATTCCTGAAAGATTTGTTGTATTTATTAATACACAGTAATAATTACATTTTTTTTTAAATTAGTTATTTCTTATAACAATTACTAAAGTAATACAAAGACGTGGCATACATTTATTTACTTTAGACACATCTGGATTAATAATGTTTAACAGTAATCATTTCTTTCGACACAAAATCAAAAATTTTTACAGAATCTTATAAATTAGCGTACCTTCTATGAAAGATTTTCTATATACTTAAGTAAATAGGTACCTATTTCCATCATGACATATAGTAAATGTTCATTTAATGCTCTTTTCCCACAGATTTCGAACCTAAGAAGGCAGCATCAGGCAATGATTTGCCTCTACCTCGTGTACTAAGAACGAATCTAATATCTGTTGGCAAAGTGCCCAGTCAAAGGTTGACGCAGCTGGCCATACATGCGTTTGTCTTCTTATCTTCTGACGTCGTCTCTCTACACGATACAAGTAAGTCACACATTTATTATTGAGTAAAAACAATGATGTTAGCTGTTTGACGTGCATTTATTTCCTATCGTCATTATCAACAGCTTATAAATGAGTTATAAATGCCCACTGCTGATCAAAGCCTCTTCTTACATGGAGAAGGTTAGAGCATTAATCACCACGCTTGCTCAATGCGGGTTGGCGATTTCAAACTTATAATTAGAAATTATAAGACCAGGTTTCCTCGCGATGTTTTGCTTCACCGTTGGTCAGTGGTGACGCACCCTCGTGAAGAAGCAGGCGTCTTCAACCTCCGGGCCACCACAACACAATTGCCAATAGACAACTGTGGAAGGCAAATGTTTCGCTAACGGCAAATGTCCCCCATGGCTGCTTTATTTACTATTTTGAATTAGGTACTCATTTTGACCTTTACTTGAAAGGATCCTCACTAAAACCAAGTTGTTGTAGGGACCAGCACAAAAACCGAATCGCTACCAAAAATACAAAATATGTAGGTTGTAGGGTTAGAACAACCAACATATGGGCCTCGTTTTCAAAACCCGTTCCCGTCATTTATTTTTCTTTGTAACTTATTGAGATGTTTCTTGAAGCTTATAAAACCGAGTTTCCAAATAAAGAAAAAAAATAACATAACAACATAACATAACATCACGCCTTTTATCCTCAAAGGGGTAGGCAGAGGTGCACATTATACCACTGTACAATGTAACACCCACTTTTCACTATTTATGTTATGAGTCCCATGTAATAGGGGGTGAACCTATTGCCATATACCGGGCACAGTTCCAGACTCCGTGCTACTACTGAGAATTTTTTTTTAAAAACCCAGTAATACTTTGCCCGACCCGGGAATCGAACCCGAGACCCCTTGCTCGGCAGTCGCAATTGTGACCACTCGGCCAACGAGGCAGTTTGAAAAAAAGTAGGCAGAAAAAAAATATGATTTTACAAATATGTATAATTACCTACTTCCGCGCGGTTTCACTCGCTCTGCTCGGCGCCTATTAATCGTAGCGTGATATTTTATAGCCTATAGCTTTCTTCAATAAATGGGCTACCCAAAACCAAAATAATTGTTCAAATCGGACCAGTAGTTTCGGAAATTAGCGCGTTCAAACAAACAAAAAAAAACAAACTCTTCAGCTTTATAATATTATAGTATAGATAGGAGGTTTTTCGTTCGCGGAAGCTTTGTTATTATTCCTGTTCCAAGCAGTAAAATAAATTGTAACTTGAATACTACTACGAGTTTTATTTTTAAACGTCTACACTACCTTATATTTATAATTGACTTGAAACATGTTTTTACATTTTTTCCGGATCTACAGTTTATGCATCATAGTACCTAAAACTGTGTATTTCTCAGAGATACCTACATAAAAATATTTTTTTTTTATGCATATTCTAAAGAAACTTAAAAACATGCTAAACTTTTCCTGTCTATAACGTACTTCGAGGAATCCAGAATGAAGCTTTCTAACATAAAATGTGACAACAGAACAAAGAAAAAGCATTCCAAATTGTATATTAAATAATTTCTAATTATTTTGTACTTACTGAAATTTATGAATACATAAATGTCATTATTTGCAGTTAACTACATATTATGGAGACCGTTCTGTTGCACTCCGAGGGGCAAAAACGATACATACTGTGTTCCAAACAAGATCCCTGAAAATGATCCCGTCCACCGGTTCTCAGGACATCGTTGTTTGAACATGACTAGACCTGAAACCTTCCAAAGTATAGGATGCATTCCCAAAGGATCTATTCCTGAAAGAGTAAGTAACACTTTTTGCATCTATGATTTCCAAATAAACATATTAAAAAGATGATTGTTTATGATTGAATGTGAAATATATTATGACCTTACTCACTTGACGAAGCATTAGTTACGTCGTCAAGATGGAAGCGTAGCGTAGAGCTACAACTTTTGGTAGCATAGTTTATCTATAGAAAATAAATCGTATAACTAACATGTAAACTTTTTTCAGATTGTTTCATCAACTCCTATCATCGACTTATCATCGGTTTACGGAAACTTCTTGAGGAACTTACAGGAAAAAGGAAGACTGTATCAAGGTGGTCTCTTGAAGTTTGAAGAAGACAGTGGAAGAATTTGGCCTCCAAGCACTAAGACACAGGCTAACGTCTGCTTTTTGAATCAAAGACCAGCTGAGACCAGATGTCATGACATGCGTTAGTAGAACAATTTTTTTTATAGAATAGGGCAGGGATGGCGAACCATTGGCACACGTGCCGTTGATGGCACGGAACACAACATTTTGAGCACGACAGTGACTACAAAACTGATGAATGATCAGAAACCTACAACGCATTTGTGGTGTCTCGAATATTGCTGGTGTACTCAGACTGCGGTGACCGCTTACCAGGTCAACTGTACACATTATTGCTAGAGATTGACTGTAAATATCAGTCGATGACACACATAAAACCGTAAAATACTTTTCTTCAAAGTAATTGGCACGCTAATGTGTAAAGGTTCGCCTTCCCTGGAATAGGGTGATAAACGAGCATGCGGACTAGCGGATCAATCTGATGGCTAGCAATTGGTCCCGCCTATGGATACCAGCAACACCAGAGGTTACAAGTGGTGGTCTTTTGAGGGTTGGGGATTCGAGGATATTGGGAGTTTTGCAAATTGACGATGGGCGGGAGGAGGATTGAGCCTCCGGTAACCTCACTTACACAGTGAAACACAACGTACACGTATCTTTCTAAGAACATAACTAACATTTTTAATGTGACGAATAAAATGACGTTGACTTTCCAGCGGAAGACGGAGGTAACACTCTAGGTGGAATTAACCTCATGGCGGTTTGGTTGTGGAGAAACCATAACTTCATAGCTAGACAGCTGGCCAAGGTCAATCCATGCTGGGACGATGAGAGGCTGTTTACTACTGCCAGAGACATCAACATCGCTCTGTATCTTCAATTCAGTTATTATGAACTGATGCCCGTCTTCTTAGGTAAGCAAAAGTAAAAAATATAATCTAATTGTTATTGAAACTGAACCATCTTGTATTTTATTGACTGCACGGTTGATGCGGTGGCTGCCGTGCAACGTGGAACGGGTTCGATTCCCGCACGCATCAATTCTTTATGTGATCCGTAAATTGTTGGTTCGGGGTCTGAGTGTCATGTGTATGTGAACTTGTATGTTTGTAAACGCACCCACGACACAGGAGAAAATCCTAATGTGGGGCAACGCAAAAAAAGCAGCGTCGTGACTGGACAAATCCTTTTTTGAATTATTCAAATTGTTCTTCTAGTTGTGTATGAAATTATGTATGTAGTTGTAAACGTAGAGGATTTTAATGTCAGGTACAGTTAACATTAACGGAAAATAATTGTTATTTAAATTCATTTAGGCATATTAGATTAGGTATGTCCAAGGTAATCGACTTGCACCATAATAATATTTACCTTACATAACCAATTAGTACCTACAGTAAGTTAATACTTATTGCTTCACGTACTAATTAGTCACGAAAATTGCATATATGGAATAAATTCGATATCTACAATTTGTTAATTAGCATATGTTGTTTTCCTCGTCTATTTTCATAGTCATGTATATTTTCTATTTTGTTCAGTTGAACTTTAAATTGATGAGGAAAAATAATATTATGCACCTCTACCTACCCAGAATAGGTAAGGTTATGGAAATGTTTACGTACGTGATTTGTTGCCATTTTAAAATTCTTTGCACAAGATCTCTAGAAAAATAATGTATCTTAACAATAATCTATTGAAAGAAAACGGGTTTTTATTTCCCGTTTCAGTTTCCCGTCAATAGTAGTACGGAGTCTGGAATTGTGCCCAGTATACAATAGCAATACCGGACATAATTCCAGACTCCGTGCTACTACTGAGATTTTTTTTTAAATTTCAAAATACTTTGCCCGTCCCAAAAATCGTACCCGACACCTCTTGCCAGGCAGTCGCACTTGCGACAACTCGGCCAACGAGGCAGTCTTATAAAATCAACGAGGCAGTATAATAAAAAAAAACATAACAATGACTCAGATATGCTCATCAACGATCCTTTGCTTAGCAACAGATTATAATTCGCTTATTATTGTAATTAAAATGAAGAAAATCAATTTAATGAAGAAAGACAACGCCATTAATATGCAAACATGTAAAACATTCGACCGGGTCAAAAGCCTTTGAATGGCCGAATACCATCTGCTATTTTATTGATACTGAGCGAATAATTCCACTGTCGAATAAATTATCTAATTAATATGGTTTCATAAGCAAGAAAAACATTTTAAACAGGTCATTTTATTACTCAAAGGAGTAATCAGGGGCTAATCTATATATGTATATAAAAGAAAGTCGTGTTAGTTACACTATTTATAACTATAGAACGGCTAAATCGATTTGGATGAAAATTGGTAGGGAGGTAGCCTAAAACCAGGAGACGGACATAGGATACTTTTTATCACTTTTTTTTACTTTTTATCGATTATCACGAACGGGAACGGGAAAAAACGAGATTGCGCGTACGAAGTCACGGGCAGAAGCTAGTGTAATAATATATGAGCATATTGCCATAAACTAAGTATAATAAAATTAGATAATTCCAGATAAAAGATGGATTAGCCGCTTGAATGACGGTATAAGACACAATACAAAATACATTAAGGGTTAAAAGTCCTTGGAACTAGCCCTTGGAAATAACAGACATAACATAACATCACGCCTTTTATCCCCGAAGGGGCAGAGGTGCGCATTACGGCACTTAATTCCACTGTATAATGTAACACCCACTTTTCAGTATTTACGTTATGAGTCCCATGTAATGGGGAGTGAGCCTATTGCCATATACCGGGCACCTTTCCAGACTCCGTGCTACTACTGAGATGTTTTTTTAGAATCAGTGTTAGCTTGCCCGACTCGGGAATCGAACCCGAGACCCCTTTCCCGGCAGTCGCACCACCACCGCGACCACTCGGCTAACGAGGCAATCTAACTCAGTCTATTAATAGACATTTTTCAATATAATACTAGGACCAACTCCGAAATCAAATTATTATTATTATTGTTTTTGTTTCAGGTTATGAAAATTTAATTAAGGATGGAGTTCTGTCACCTCTTGGTGGCTTTAGGGATGTGTATGATGAGAAGGTTCTCCCTCAAGTATCTTTGGAATTTCCTTTCGCTTTGAGATGGTTGCACACCGTACAGGATGGTTCTTTGAAGTGAGTTTAGAAATCATATTCCAAATGTCCCATATTTAATGTTAGCATGTAAAAGTGGTATTTCGTAACTTATTGCCTTAATAAACAAACATTATTTATTTATTAAATTAAATAAAAAGAAGAAACTCAGAGGTTACGAGGCCAGGAGACCCATAACGCTCTGCTTAGTACGGGCTCCTGTCTCCCATTAATTGCTGAATATATAAACATTTGTTAAAATATCTGACAAATCTAAATTCCTTAATGAAATAAACTTAAAATCGCGGGTTACTCACTTACGATAGTTATTATAAAAATCATCAATGAGACCGAATTTTTTAATGGATGTGGGGGGGAAACTTGTGTTTTTGGTATTTAAAGGGAACGTATACCAACAGTCACTATTGTTATAATTGTGTAAATGAAACCTCTTTGTGATTTACAGAATGTACGATCTAGAAGGCCATTACTTGAAGCAGTTCCCCATAGTAAACCTCACTTTGAGAACTGGGTTCTTTGACGTTGACGACAACATTGATTACATCACTCAAGGCAGTTTTAGACAGGGAAGCGCCAAGATTGACTACATTGCTGATCCCGATGTAAGTAGAATAATATAAGTGGGATTACTAGACAAACTGAATGAGATGTAGTTGGACGTTCAATATCAAGTTTGTCTTCTTCAAGCTCATATCAGCAAATAGCCTGCCATGAATTTCAAAGTCTAAGTTAAAATCATTTATTTCAATTATACTAGGAAGGCACTTTTGAACGTCGAAACAAAATATTGAAATAATTATTAAAAAAAATATGTCAGTCTGTCGTTTAGTGAAGCTATTTGCTCGTTCCAAAGTACATTCTTATGGAGAAGAACGAGCAAAAAACTGCATAGGTTAGTCTTTTTCGATCAGATACACAATACAATATTCTTGGTTACATTGTTTCGTTGTACTTAGTCGATAAAATACAAAATGCAACTAGCTTTTTGGGGAGAAAGATTATGGATTGTGATTGGGAATCTTACCTAATTAAAACCTCTCTACTCACCGGGTTGTCTAATTATACAACACCTGTTACGGTGCACTGCTAATCTCTGGGAGCTGCTACACACACACTTGACTGACAGGCTGTTGAAAAATTTTATTTTGACTTTGAATATATTTAGGTTTAATATTCAATATCAACTATGGTTATTTTATATTTCAGATAACAGAACAGGGATTGGGACCTCACCAAAGTGTATCAGATTTGATGACCAATGACATGGCCAAAAACCGATACTTCGGATTCCAACCTTACGTTAAGTACAGAGAAGCATGCTTCGGAAAGCCAATACGCTCGTTCTATGATCTTGACGGAATTGTGGATCCTGAGGTATAAATTTATTCCTAGATTTTTGTTTTATTTAATTAATTTGTGACAGAGATTGTCTCCATTTCTAGCAACCAACAAGAGATTGACATAACTTATCTATAAATATGTATTACTAGCTTCTGTCCGCGACTTCGTATGCGCAATCCCGTTTTCTCCCGTTCCCGTAGGATTTTCAGGACTTTTTTCTGTCACAAGAACCTTCTCCTGACAATAACAAACACAATAAAAAAAATCAGCCAAATCGGTCTAGCCGTTCTCAAGTTATGGCGTGACAACGGGAAACGGGTTTCATTTTTATATACCTCTATATATAGATAGATTAATTTTACTAGGGTTATTTAAACATCACAAAGGAGATCATAGCTATAATTTTATTTATTGTTCTTACTATTTCAGAGAATTGAGCTTCTCAGAGATCTTTATGAAAAGGTAGAAGATGTAGATCTTTTAGCTGGTATTTGGGTGGAAAAGCCAATTTATGGTGGATATGTTCCTCCAACATTCTACTGCCTGACCATTGACCAGCTGAGGAGGAACATGGTAGCTGATAGACATTGGTATGAGAGACCAAATCGTCCCAATGCTTTTAACGCACGTAAGTACTTTTAATAATGCTATGTTGAATAAATGAATGAGATAATCACTAATTACTTTTACATTTATTAAGCATTTCTAAATTCGTAAGTTCATAGGTAACGTCATGTCTAACATTCTATGCATCACTCAAAAACTCAACTGGTAAAGAATATCTACATCCTTGATTTGTGCATAAAATTTAAATAAATAAATATTTATGAGTCTTGTACTGTTATTCTACTCAATTATTGGATTGATTTAATTTTTAATGTGGTGCAATTTTTTGATATTTTTGCGGTCAGTAGTGACAGTGACAGGTAGATTATGTCAAGTGTATTTGATTGTGCTTAACCAATTTGTTTTATTTTTAGTACAACTGGGTGAAATAAGGAAATATACCATTGCAAGATTCCTGTGTGACGTTGGAGACAAAGTGACCAAGATCCAACCACATGCCTTCTTGAAGGCTGGATTCAAGTATGTTATGACGTAATTGTTATTTCTTTGCAACCGTTTTCATTTTGTCTTTTGATGGCTCAATGGCCTGACGTAGTTAGCTACTGTGCATGTATTTTTACCGACTTCAAAAAAAGGAGAAGGTACTATGTTCGGTTGATTGTTTTTTTTTGTATGTATGTATGTATGGTGTATGTATGTATTATTACTATGTACTTTATTTATTTATTTTCTTAGTAGACAACCCGTCTAAATATTTCTTTTCATTATATCCACCCAAAGGTTGTCTGATAGAAATCACTATAAGTGATAAGAATTAAATACGAAAAGATTCGTTCGTAGGCATTAAATGAGTACACACGTCGTGAATATTTTATTTTTAAATATATAAATTAAATTACAAAGTTAGTACTAGTGGCTTAATTTGGACCAACAACAAGATCTAAATAGTGGTATTAATAATCAGCAAGTGCTAAGAATTGCTGGGTCCATGTAACATAGTTAAACTTGGCCACCACCTGCCAGCACATCAATTACACTGATTTGAAAATTGTCACCACAAGCACAGGAAGTTACATTTGCGCAATGTCGAAATCCAGGGATGTTGTCACGGTTCACATGAACGTCCAGGAGACTCTCTTGAAGAGGATGGCGGATCTGGAGGGGCAGATTCAGTCGGCAGGATCGGCTAAAGACTCTTTGGCCAGGATAGCCGAAGAGTTCCGCACCTTCCGTAAATTCGTCCTGGATATGCTAAAGCTGTTGCGGAGCCTGATCACTGATTGTTCCAGAAGTAATGATGACACGGAGATGCGTAACCGCCGGAAGGCTCTGATATTCCAGGGCATTCCGGAGGTAGATAGAGAGGATTGCAGCGGTCTGATTATTGAGACTATCAATAACAAGCTGGGTCTGAATCTTCCTGTGTCTGCGATTAAGAGGTGTCACAGACTTGGAACCAGTACCAAGGAGCATCATCGACCGATGCTGGTAAAATTCTCAAGTCTTGATTCTAAGGCGTCGGTCTGGAAAGCGAAGTCTCGTTTGCGTGGCACTAAAATCTCTGTCAAGGAGTTTTTGACGAAGCCCAGACAGGAGGTATTTGCAAGGGCACGCCAACACTTTGGTATGCGAGCCTGCTGGACCCAAGACGGCAATATCTTCCTTAGGGCCAGTGACGGAAGTAAGCACAGAGTCACGTGCTTGGAGCAGCTGAATCCTCTCCTAGACAAGTATCCCAAGGACAAGGAGCCAGGTACGACAAAGATAGCACCCGGGCGCAGAGCTGAGCTGGATGCGGCGAACCTAAAACAAGCAAGTAGATAGTCAGTTCCATTTTGTAATCGGCTGATCACGTAATAGTTAACGTTCTCCAACATCCCATGATCTTACCGTGAATCCGGTCGAGCATCAAAATATTCCTTAAAATTTAATTTGCTTGCTTGTACTACATTGCGATGGGTGTTGGCAATTCTTACCCACTATACTGGAAACACTAACTTTCCTTTGTTCTTAATGTTTCATAGTTCACGTTATCGAAAATACCCAACAAATTGTATTTTTCTTTTCCATCATAATAAATCAATAGTCAACAGTTGTGTCAGTGTCAGTTGTCAATTGTCATTATGTCAATTGACACTACGGCTGCGTTCAGATATCTCACTTGCAAATTATTGTTGATCTATTAGCAATGATAAATAACATTTTGCAGTTCGTTTTTGTTTCCATGTTGCGTTTTGTTATTTTTGCAAATTGTTATCTTTTTCTATATTTTTGTTTTATAATCGTATTGCGTTTTGTTAGTGATGTGTAAATATTTTTCTTTCTGAATTTCTGCTTGTGTTGTGTCTGTTGTATTTTTACTTGGTGTTAGCTGGCGGGTGGTGCAGAGTTGCATGTAATTGGTAGCGAGCTTTACGTAATTGGTTGTTATTCATATATTATATCTGTGATTTATCTATAAACTTTACAACTACATATATATTATATTTATACAAATTATTATTATATTTATTACTTATGTCTGAAAATGATTCTTTTGTGTCTGCAAGCGAGGATGGTGCGTCTGACTGCGATAGCTTCTGCTCATTGGTGGGAACTCTGGGTGATATACTCAAACGCCAGTTCGAGGGTAATAACCGCCAATCATTTAATGTATGTCACATTAACGCGCAGAGTATTCCCAGCCATTATAGTGACTTGTACGAGGCATTTAGCAACAGCGACATACATGCGGTCCTGATATCCGAGACTTGGCTCAAGCCTCATCTTTTGTCCACCACCTACCCCCTACCCGGATACATTCTTATTCGGAATGACCGAATTGATGGTAGGGGGGGCGGCGTAGCTATATATCTCCGCAGCGAATTCCCCTACAAGATTATTTCTTTATCACCACAAAATTGCACTGCGGAGTATGTATTTGTAGAGGTTTGTGTCCGAGGGGCAAAGCTCGCAATGGGCGTAATTTATTGTCCTCCCTTGGTCGATTATTTCACTGAATTCGAATCAGTAATTGAATCTTTGGGTACGGAGTATGCACATCACATAGTCATGGGTGACTTCAACACCAATCTCCTTGCCTACGATTCCTCTCGTTCCCGCAGGCTTCTGCATTTGATCGAGTCGGCAAGTCTTCACCTGCTACCTCTACAACCTACTCACCACAACGTTGCTGGTGAGGACACCTGGCTCGATCTGATCGTCACATCCAACCCCTCCCTTGTTTTGTCTCATGGGCAGTACGAGGCCCCTGGATTTTCCCATCATGACCTAATTTTCCTCTCCTATATCCTTAAACCGCCCAAGGTTAGGCCTAGGGTTGTGTACAGGCGTTGTTTTGCGAGAATGGATGCTGAGAGTCTTCGTAAAGATGCGGCGGCCATTGATTGGAGGCTGCTGATGGAGGCCACTAGTGTCAATAACATGGTGGATATATTCAATAACACCTTGAATAGTCTGTTTGACCGTCATGCTCCCATCAAAAGGGTTAAATTAAAGCGTCCACCAGCGCCTTGGATGACTGGAGTGATACAGACGGCGATGCGACGCAGGGATCGAGCGTTCCGTAGGCACAGGAGGGATCGTACTGAGGAAAATTGGGCTGCCTTCAAAACTGCAAGGAACAAGTGTAATCAGATGGTGCGCAATGCTAAACGCCGCTTTATTTTCGACCGAATATCTTCTTCTTCTTCTGCCGATATTTGGAAGTTCCTCAGAACCCTAGGTATCGGCAAATCGCAGCATTTAGACCTGCCGAGCTCGATTGGTTTGGATGATCTCAATCGCCACTTTTCCACTGTCTCTAAATTGGATTCCCAAACTAAACAAAACACCATATCTCTTATCTCTGGTCTAATGCGTTCTTCCACTGTCAGTCCTTTCTGTTTCAGGCCAGTGCAGTCAGAGGAGATCCGGAAAGTTATCCTTGCCATTAAGTCCAAGGCAGTGGGTTGTGATAATATATCACGATATATGATCATAACCATACTGGAACCCCTCCTCCCAATCATTACGCATATGATTAATTTCTCCCTACATTCCAGAGTTTTCCCATCGTTGTGGCGTCAAGCCTATGTCCGCCCCCTTCCTAAAATACCTAATCCCACCCTTCCAACCCAATTTCGTCCCATATCAATCCTACCCTTTTTGTCAAAGGTCCTGGAGGCCTGTGTCCATAGGCAATTCTCAAGTTTTATGCACCGGAACTCGCTAATAAGCCCATACCAATCTGGTTTTAGGCCTGGACACAGCACCACTACCGCATTGCTCAAAGTTATCGGTGATGTGAAGGCAGGGATGGAGGACACCAAAGTCACTGTGTTGGTTTTGGTGGACTTCTCGAATGCATTCAATATGGTCGATCATGATATCCTGTTAGCGATCCTCTCCCAGGTTTCGGTATCTAATGACGCACTGGAATGGTTCTCATCCTATCTTCGCGAGCGTCAGCAGTTGGTCCAGGTTGGCGATACGTCATCGAGCTGGTGCCAATTGACTGCTGGCGTTCCTCAAGGCGGAATTCTCTCTCCTCTTCTATTCTCAACTTTTATAAATCGAGTCACTTCCGAACTTCAGTGTGCGTACCATCTGTATGCCGACGACTTGCAGTTGTATTGCCAGGCTAGAGTGGAAGATTTGCCCGATGCGATCTCAAGGTTAAATGCGGACCTGGCTGCCTTGAACGACTGGTCAACAAGTTTCGGTATAGCAGTGAATCCCAGTAAATGCCAGGCAATAATTTTAGGAAGTTCCCGTACCTTTGGTAGAATCGACAGCGCAGCACTGCCGCCGCTTCTATATGATGGTGCGATAATCTCGCTCAGCAGTGACGTGAAGGATCTGGGACTGCACATCGACAATAATTTGACGTGGCGTGTTCAGATCGCTGGTGTTTGTAAACGGGTGACGGGCACGCTTCGGTCTTTGTATCGCCTTAAAAATTTTCTTCCGTCCTCCACCAAGATAATGCTTGTCCGTTCCTTGGTCTTTCCTATCATTGACTATGCTGATGTTTGCTACTACGACCTGAATGCAGATCTCATCAATAAACTGGACCGCCTTCTGAATAACTGTATTCGATTCATCTTCAACCTGCGTAAATACGACCATGTTTCTGCATACCGATTGCAACTAAAGTGGTTGCCCATACGTCAACGCAGGGAACAACGGGCACTAACCACTTTATACTCCTTGCTTAATTCCCCCACTTCTCCAAGTTATTTAGCCTCCTACTTTCAATATGTGAGCACCAACCACAATAAGTATCTCCGTTCCACAAACAATCTCCTCCTCCAAGGTCCCTCACACCGAACCGACTTTCTCCACTCGTCATTTTTCATTCAGTCAGTCTTACTGTGGAATGCGCTGCCCACGGATATCAGGACGGCTTCCAGTCGGCTATCCTTTAAATTTAAAGTCAAAGAATATCTTCAGAACAAACTGACACAATCAAGTCTCAATTAACACCCTCCTCAGAAACTTTATATATATAATTATATGAAATATATAAACCCATTATATATTTATTTTTATATTATATATATATTTAATTATTTACATATTATATTTATGTTTCATATTAGTATGTAGTATTGGTATGTAGTTTATGTACTAGGATACCTTTATACATATGTACGTACATTTATCACCCTCGTTTTTATTTTTTTACTTGTTTTGAAACCTACTGTAACACTTCTCTGCATCACCCTATGGTTGGCTGGTAGAGAATGCCATTCGGCATTAAGTCCGCCATTGTATACAGTTGTACATAAAGTGTTAAATAAATAAATAATAAATAAATAAGACCGCCCATTATTTGTGCCCATTATTATTTATGTTTGTCATTTCCTTTTCTGTATGTACTATATTATTAATGGTGTACAATAAAGTTGTATTCTATCCTATTCTATTTTTGAGGGTGTATAAAAGAATGTAGTCCAACGATTGTTCGTCTAGACTAGTCCGAATCTCTATTTACTTTTTTAATTTATGAATCTCCTCTGTATGACCCTCGGGTTTATTCTTGGAGTAGATTTTTTTACATTAGCGACCTCTTAAAAGATTCATAGATTTTTTCATCTATAATTTCTTCAAATAGGTTAAATTTTCTTTTTATTCCTCATTTTGAACTCATTTGTTTTTTTTTTACAGCAACGAAATGGTTAGTTGTGATAATATACCTGCAATGAATTATGAAGCCTGGAGGGATTTAAATTGTGGACTGCCAACATATTTCAATCAGTATGGTAAAAACGTCGCAGAGTGATTGGTGCTATTAAGTTATATAAGATTTTGAGGTTGTTGACCTATTGGAACAGGCTCCTGATACCAATAAAATCAAGATTATGACCTCAAGTTGATAGTCGATCTTATAAATACATTAAATTAATAAATATATTTCATTTAGGTTTATTTTTGTTTCATTTCTACCAAAAGTTTTAAAGCCCTTACACCTTTATTAACAATTCAAAAAAATATTTATTTTATTTTAACTTCTACGCATGTTTAAATAAAGAAAAACCGATATTTAAAAAAAGCAAGGTTCCACCGAGATTTGAACTCGGATCGCTGGATTCAAAGTCCAGAGTGCTAACCATTACACCATGGAACCGGTTGTCAAGTGATGCGAAATAGCGCTTCCCTTTCACTACAGCTTAAGTTGTTTGTGTTGTGACGTCACTTATTGATATTGCTCTCACGATGTTACCTACATACATTCAGTAATGTAAAGAATTCATTATAGTTACTTGATCTTTGAAACAGTTATGTATAGATTTTTGAGATACAGAAAAAATCTTTACTAATTCGTTGGTCAAGTGATCGCAAGCGCAGCTACTGTGCAAGAAGACTCAAGTTCGATTCCCGAGTCGGTTAAATTATTATGGAAAATTCGTAGTAACTAAAACGGAGTCTAGAAATATACCTGGTATATGGCATTACTGGCTTACTTCTGTAATATTATATTCATGGGATTAAAAGATTGACGATAATGGGTTTTGTGACAAATAAATATTTTTATGATGGCAATAAACTAAACCATATTTATCTGTACTTATAGTTTTTTTGGAATAACATCTTAATAAGAAAATAGACGAAATGAAATTCAACATTTATACTTGCAAACTTTAATCAGAAATCTGAGATACATAGTACATCAAATAACAACACTAGGAACATCATTACATAACAGAAAACATTATAAAATTGCAATCATATATACATGAGGCGTACGCTTATCCACTTATTACAACAGTGGGATAATAACATGTTACTAAAGTAGTATAACTGAAATCATTAGAATTTAAGTATTTCATAAAATAATAGAAAATTAATTACAAATTATTCTAGTAGATGATAGAGCGATATCCCTCACTCTTGCCTGTGTTGCTATTCTGTGCGATTTCAAGTCATAATAGGTATTAGAATCAACTCAACCAGTTTCACCACCAAGTTAAGCCACCAATTAATTTATCAAGTACAGACTTTTGTGTGGTCGTAGTCGTCGTCGTTGTTCGCAAGACCGGTATATCATCTTCCTCACAGAAAGAGTCAATTGCATCCAGTTCAATTGCTTCAGTGGCAACAGCTTCAGTTGTCACTGGCGTAGTGACTTCAACTTTGGTAGTCTCTTCAACGGCTTCTGATTCCGATGGCTCAGTTTCTACTCCAATTGCAGTATCAGATATTTCAGTGGTAATGTCCTCACTAGTTACATTTTCTGTAGATGTTTCATAAGTTACTTCGTCAACTGAGACTATATTACTAGTTGTAGTTTCTGCGTCATCAGTTAGTCTTTCATTACTAGTGGTGGGGTGTTCATCATTAGTAGACTCTGATTCTGGAGTATCGATTATAACCTGTTCAGTAGAAGACACTTCCGAGCTAATTTCTAATATAATGTCACTTGTACTAGTCGATTCAGTTGTGGAAGTTTCAAGAGAAATCTCTTCAGTCAAACCAGTGGTAGTTTCGAAAACAGATGGGTGGAAAGTAATTTCTTCGACAGGAACTGTACTCATAGTGTTGTCAATAGGTTTAGTTACATCTTCGTTACAACCAACGTTTGAAGTACTCTTGATCGTTTCATCACACGGTGCATTGGTTATTGGCTCGTTTGACACTGGTTCAGACACTGTAGTTTCAGAATTGGTAACTTCAACAGTAGTTTCTTCAAAATTAATGTCTTCCTCTGTTACGGCATTACTGGTCGTTGCTTCAGAAGTGGACGATTCAAATGTTGTTTCTTCGAAAGAAGCTAAACTAACTGTTGTACTACTAGTGGACTCTGTTATATCTTCACTACAGTAAGCATCCAAGCTACTAGCAGCTGATTCATCACAAGGTGCGTGAGTTATTTCCTCAAGCGAGGCAGACTCAGATGTTTTAATTTCAGAATCAACAGCTTCAGACGTAACATCTTCAACTATAATTGATTGAGTAGTCGTGGCTTCAAGAGTAGAACTTTCAAAGGTATTCTCTTCGACAGAGTTTGGATTCACAGTATTAACTGTGGGTTTTGTTACATCTTCATTACAAATAGCGTCTACGCTACCAGCGGCTGATTCATCACAAGGTGCGTGAGTTATTTCCTCAAGCGAGGCAGACTCAGATGTTTTAGTTTCAGAATCAACAGCTTCAGACGTAACATCTTCAACTACAATTGTTTCAACAGTTGTTGCATCGTGAGTAGAAGTTTCAAAAGTAATTTCTTCTACAGAGTTTGGACTTGCGGTACTACCCGTCGATTCTGTTACATCTTCATTACAACTAGCGTCAACGCTACCAGCAGCTGATTCATCACAAGGTGCGTGAGTTATTTCTTCAAGTGAGGCAGAATCAGATGTTTTAGTTTCAGAATCAACAGCTTCAGACGTAACATCTTCAACTATAATTGTTTCAATAGTCGTTGCATCGTGAGTAGAAGTTTCAAAAGTAATTTCTTCTACAGAGTTTGGACTTGCGGTACTACCCGTCGATTCTGTTACATCTTCATTACAACTAGCGTCAACGCTACCAGCAGCTGATTCATCACAAGGAGCGTGAGTTATTTCTTCAAGTGAGGCAGACTCAGATGTTTTAGTTTCAGAATCAACAGCTTCAGACGTAACATCTTCAACTATAATTGATTGAGTAGTCGTGGCTTCAAGAGTAGAACTTTCAAAGGTATTCTCTTCGACAGAGTTTGGATTCACAGTATTAACTGTGGGTTTTGTTACATCTTCATTACAAATAGCGTCCACGCTACCAGCGGCTGATTCATCACAAGGAGCATGAGTTATTTCCTCAAGCGAGGCAGACTCAGATGTTTTAGTTTCAGAATCAACAGCTTCAGACGTAACATCTTCAACTATAATTATTTCAACAGTTGTTGCATCGTGAGTAGAAGTTTCAAAGGTATTCTCTTCGACAGAGTTTGGATTCACAGTATTAACTGTGGGTTTTGTTACATCTTCATTACAAATAGCGTCTACGCTACCAGCGGCTGATTCATCACAAGGAGCATGAGTTATTTCCTCAAGCGAGGCAGACTCAGATGTTTTAGTTTCAGAATCAACAGCTTCAGACGTAACATCTTCAACTATAATTGTTTCAATAGTCGTTGCATCGTGAGTAGAAGTTTCAAAAGCAATTTCTTCTACAGAGTTTGGACTTGCGGTACTACCCGTCGATTCTGTTACATCTTCATTACAACTAGCGTCAACGCTACCAGCAGCTGATTCATCACAAGGTGCGTGAGTTATTTCCTCAAGCGAGGCAGACTCAGATGTTTTAATTTCAGAATCAACAGCTTCAGACGTAACATCTTCAACTATAATTGTTTCAATAGTCGTTGCATCGTGAGTAGAAGTTTCAAAAGCAATTTCTTCTACAGAGTTTGGACTTGCGGTACTACCCGTCGATTCTGTTACATCTTTATTACAACTAGCGTCAACGCTACCAGCAGCTGATTCATCACAAGGTGCGTGAGTTATTTCCTCAAGCGAGGCAGACTCAGATGTTTTAATTTCAGAATCAACAGCTTCAGACGTAACATCTTCAACTATAATTGATTGAGTAGTCGTGGCTTCAAGAGTAGAACTTTCAAAGGTATTCTCTTCGACAGAGTTTGGATTCACAGTATTAACTGTGGGTTTTGTTACATCTTCATTACAAATAGCGTCTACGCTACCAGCGGCTGATTCATCACAAGGAGCATGAGTTATTTCCTCAAGCGAGGCAGACTCAGATGTTTTAGTTTCAGAATCAACAGCTTCAGACGTAACATCTTCAACTATAATTGTTTCAACAGTTGTTGCATCGTGAGTAGAAGTTTCAAAAGTAATTTCTTCCACAGAGTTTGGAGTTACGGAACTACCCGTCGATTCTGTTACATCTTCACTACAAATAGCGTCCACGCTACCAGCGGCTGATTCATCACAAGGAGCATGAGTTATTTCCTCAAGCGAGGCAGACTCAGATGTTTTAGTTTCAGAATCAACAGCTTCAGACGTAACATCTTCAACTATAATTGTTTCAACAGTTGTTGCATCGTGAGTAGAAGTTTCAAAAGTAATTTCTTCCACAGAGTTTGGAGTTACGGAACTACCCGTCGATTCTGTTACATCTTCACTACAATAAGCATCCAAGCTACCGGCAGCTGATTCATCACAAGGTGCATGAGTTATTTCTTCAAGTGAGGCCGACTCAGATGTAGTAGTCTCATCAGCAGCTAGAGATGTAAAATCTTCAACTATAATTGTTTCAACAGTTGTTGCATCGTGAGTAGAAGTTTCAAAAGTAAATTCTTCCACAGAGTTTGGATTCACAGTACTGACTGTAGATTTTGTTACATCTTCATTACAACTAGCGTCAACACTACCAGCACCTATCTCTATTACATCTTCACTACAATAAGTATCCAAGCTAGCATCGTCTGTTTCATCACAGGGTGCATGAGTTATGTCTTCAAGTGAAACCGACTCCGATATTTCAGATTCATCAGGACCAAACGTAACTTCTTCATCCAAAACGGTTTTAGCGGTCGTGATTTCAGAAGTAGATGATACTGTGGAATCAGTAATATCTTCATTGCATTCAGCCTCCAGACTATCTACCGTTGTTTCGTCACAAGGTGCATTTGTAATTTCTTCAAACGCGACTGTCTTAGAAGTTGTTGTCTCTTTATCTTCAGCCTCAAAAATAGTAGTTGAAGGTATAAGCAAGGAATCTGTAACATCTTCACTACAAACAGTTTCTATATTGTCATACACAGTTTCATTACAAGGCGAATTCGTGATTTCTTCAAGAGAAACAGACTTAGACGTGGTTGTCTCATTATATTCAAAAGGTACCTCTTCCGTAGAACCAGGAGGTAAAGTACTAAGTGCAGAATCCGTGACATCTTCAATACAGCTGGTATCTACATTGCCATCCACGGTTTCTTCACAAGGTGCATCAGAAATGCCATCAAGTGAAACAGAATTAGCTGTTGTTGTTTCATTATGTTCAAAAGACTCATCTTCAACAGAAACAGGAATTGAAGTACTAAGCGAGGAGTCTGTAACATCTTCACTGCAAATAACATCTTCACCGCTGTTCGCAGTATCATCACAAGGCGCGTTCGTAATATCATCAGGAGAAACAGACTTAGATGTTGTTATCAAATAATCCTCCAAAGATATATCTTCTACAGGAACACGTGTTGACGAACTAAGCGACAAATCTGTTACATCTTCACTACAACCAGGGTCTAAGATAAGATCAGTTGTTTCATCACAAGGTGCATCAGAAACTTCTTCGAGTACATCTTCGTTACATCCAGCATCAACGACAACATCAATAAATTCATCGCAAGGTGCGTCTGTAATTCCTTCATACGTACCAGGATGAGAAGTAGATGTTTTAGGCGTTGATATTTTAGCAGTTGTAGTTCTCGAAGTTGACGTCTTCATTGTTGATGATTTGTAAGTTGTTGTACTAGTAACCGATGAGACAGTAGTAACTGTAGGCTTAGCAGAAGAAACGACAATACTAATATCCGCCTCAGTGGAAGTGGTGGAAATAGCAGACTCAGTAGTGGAAGCGACAGTGGTTTCTGATTCCGTTGCAGCATCAGTGGTGACGTCAGAGACCTCAGTGGTAACGACTACAATGCTGTCCGCCTCAGTGGTAGTGGTGGATGAATCAGAGGCATCAGCTTCGGTGGACACTTCTTCGACGCCAGACTCAGTAGTGGAAGCGACAGTGGTTTCTGATTCCGTTGCAGCATCAGTGGTGACGTCAGAGACCTCAGTGGTAACGACTACAATGCTGTCAGCCTCAGTGGTAGTGGTGGAAGAAGCATCAGTTTCGGTGGTCACTTCTTCGACGCCAGACTCAGTAGTGGAAGCGACAGTGGTTTCTGATTCCGTTGCAGCATCAGTGGTGACGTCAGAGACCTCAGTGGTAACGACATCAGTGCTGTCCGCCTCAGTGGCAGTGGTGGAAGAAGCATCAGCTTCGGTGGTCACTCCTTCGACGCCAGACTCGGTAGTGGAAGCGACAGTGGTTTCTGATTCCGTTGCAGCATCAGTGGTGACGTCAGAGACCTCAGTGGTAACGACTACAGTGCTGTCCGCTTCAGTGGCAGTGGTGGAAGATGCATCAGCTTCGGTGGTCACTCCTTCGACGCCAGACTCAGTAGTGGAAGCGACAGTGGTTTCTGATTCCGTTGCAGCATCAGTGGTGACGTCAGAGACCTCAGTGGTAACGACTACAGTGCTGTCCGCCTCAGTGGCAGTGGTGGAAGAAGCATCAGCTTCGGTGGTCACTCCTTCGACGCCAGACTCAGTAGTGGAAGCGACAGTGGTTTCTGATTCCGTTGCAGCATCAGTGGTGACGTCAGAGACCTCAGTGGTAACGACTACAGTGCTGTCCGCTTCAGTGGCAGTGGTGGAAGATGCATCAGCTTCGGTGGTCACTCCTTCGACGCCAGACTCAGTAGTGGAAGCGACAGTGGTTTCTGATTCCGTTGCAGCATCAGTGGTGACGTCAGAGACCTCAGTGGTAACGACTACAATGCTGTCGGCCTCAGTGCTAGTGGTGGAAGAAGCATCAGTTTCGGTGGTCACTTCTTCGACGCCAGACTCAGTAGTGGAAGCGACAGTGGTTTCTGATTCCGTTGCAGCATCAGTGGTGACGTCAGAGACCTCAGTGGTAACGACTACAGTGCTGTCCGCCTCAGTGGCAGTGGTGGAAGAAGCATCAGCTTCGGTGGTCACTCCTTCGACGTCAGACTCAGTAGTGGAAGCGATAGTGGTTTCTGATTCCGTTGCAGCATCAGTGGTGACGTCAGAGACCTCAGTGGTAACGACTACAGTGCTGTCCGCCTCAGTGGCAGTGGTGGAAGAAGCATCAGCTTCGGTGGTCACTCCTTCGACGACAGACTCGGTAGTGGAAGCGACAGTGGTTTCTGATTCCGTTGCAGCATCAGTGGTGACGTCAGAGACCTCAGTGGTAACGACTACAATGCTGTCGGCCTCAGTGGTAGTGGTGGATGAATCAGAGGCATCAGCATCGGTGGTCACTCCTTCGACGCCAGACTCAGTAGTGGAAGCGACAGTGGTTTCTGATTCCGTTGCAGCATCAGTGGTGACGTCAGAGACCTCAGTGGTAACGACTACAATGCTGTCAGCCTCAGTGGTAGTGGTGGAAGAAGCATCAGTTTCGATGGTCACTTCTTCGACGCCAGACTCAGTAGTGGAAGCGACAGTGGTTTCTGATTCCGTTGCAGCATCAGTGGTGACGTCAGAGACCTCAGTGGTAACGACTACAGTGCTGTCCGCCTCAGTGGCAGTGGTGGAAGAAGCATCAGCTTCGGTGGTCACTCCTTCGACGCCAGACTCAGTAGTGGAAGCGACAGTGGTTTCTGATTCCGTTGCAGCATCAGTGGTGACGTCAGAGACCTCAGTGGTAACGACTACAGTGCTGTCCACTTCAGTGGCAGTGGTGGAAGAAGCATCAGCTTCGGTGGTCACTCCTTCGACGCCAGACTCAGTAGTGGAAGCGACAGTGGTTTCTGATTCCGTTGCAGCATCAGTGGTGACGTCAGAGACCTCAGTGGTAACGACTACAATGCTGTCGGCCTCAGTGGTAGTGGTGGAAGAAGCATCAGTTTCGGTGGTTACTTCTTCGACGCCAGACTCAGTAGTGGAAGCGACAGTGGTTTCTGATTCCGTTGCAGCATCAGTGGTGACGTCAGAGACCTCAGTGGTAACGACTACAGTGCTGTCGGCCTCAGTGGTAGTGGTGGAAGAAGCATCAATTTCGGTGGTTACTTCTTCGACGCCAGACTCAGTAGTGGAAGCGACAGTGGTTTCTGATTCCGTTGCAGCATCAGTGGTGACGTCAGAGACCTCAGTGGTAACGACTACAGTGCTGTCCGCCTCAGTGGTAGTGGTGGAAGAAGCATCAGCTTCGGTGGTCACTCCTTCGACGCCAGACTCGGTAGTGGAAGCGACAGTGGTTTCTGATTCCGTTGCAGCATCAGTGGTGACGTCAGAGACCTCAGTGGTAACGACTACAATGCTGTCGGCCTCAGTGGTAGTGGTGGAAGAAGCATCAGTTTCGGTGGTTACTTCTTCGACGCCAGACTCAGTAGTGGAAGCGACCGTGGTTTCTGATTCCGTTGCAGCATCAGTGGTGACGTCAGAGACCTCAGTGGTAACGACTACAGTGCTGTCCGCCTCAGTGGCAGTGGTGGAAGAAGCATCAGCTTCGGTGGTCACTCCTTCGACGCCAGACTTAGTAGTGGAAGCGACAGTGGTTTCTGATTCCGTTGCAGCATCAGTGGTGACGTCAGAGACCTCAGTGGTAACGACTACAGTGCTGTCCGCCTCAGTGGCAGTGGTGGAAGAAGCATCAGCTTCGGTGGTCACTCCTTCGACGCCAGACTCGGTAGTGGAAGCGACAGTGGTTTCTGATTCCGTTGCAGCATCAGTGGTGACGTCAGAGACCTCAGTGGTAACGACTACAATGCTGTCGGCCTCAGTGGTAGTGGTGGATGAATCAGAGGCATCAGCTTCGGTGGACACTTCTTCGACGCCAGACTCAGTAGTGGAAGCGACAGTGGTTTCTGATTCCGTTGCAGCATCAGTGGTGACGTCAGAGACCTCAGTGGTAACGACTACAGTGCTGTCGGCCTCAGTGGTAGTGGTGGAAGAAGCATCAGCTTCGGTGGTCACTCCTTCGACGCCAGACTCGGTAGTGGAAGCGACAGTGGTTTCTGATTCCGTTGCAGGATCAGTGGTGACGTCAGAGACCTCAGTGGTAACGACTACAGTGCTGTCCGCCTCAGTGGCAGTGGTGGAAGAAGCATCAGCTTCGGTGGTCACTCCTTCGACGCCAGACTCGGTAGTGGAAGCGACAGTGGTTTCTGATTCCGTTGCAGCATCAGTGGTGACGTCAGAGACCTCAGTGGTAACGACTACAATGCTGTCGGCCACAGTGGTAGTGGTGGATGAATCAGAGGCATCAGCTTCGGTGGACACTTCTTCGACGCCAGACTCAGTAGTGGAAGCGACAGTGGTTTCTGATTCCGTTGCAGGATCAGTGGTGACGTCAGAGACCTCAGTGGTAACGACTACAGTGCTGTCCGCCTCAGTGGCAGTGGTGGAAGAAGCATCAGCTTCGGTGGTCACTCCTTCGACGCCAGACTCGGTAGTGGAAGCGACAGTGGTTTCTGATTCCGTTGCAGCATCAGTGGTGACGTCAGAGACCTCAGTGGTAACGACTACAGTGCTGTCCGCCTCAGTGGCAGTGGTGGAAGAAGCATCAGCTTCGGTGGTCACTCCTTCGACGCCAGACTCAGTAGTGGAAGCGACAGTGGTTTCTGATTCCGTTGCAGCATCAGTGGTGACGTCAGAGACCTCAGTGGTAACGACTACAGTGCTGTCCGCCTCAGTGGCAGTGGTGGAAGAAGCATCAGCTTCGGTGGTCACTCCTTCGACGCCAGACTCGGTAGTGGAAGCGACAGTGGTTTCTGATTCCGTTGCAGCATCAGTGGTGACGTCAGAGACCTCAGTGGTAACGACTACAATGCTGTCGGCCTCAGTGGTAGTGGTGGATGAATCAGAGGCATCAGCTTCGGTGGACACTTCTTCGACGCCAGACTCAGTAGTGGAAGCGACAGTGGTTTCTGATTCCGTTGCAGCATCAGTGGTGACGTCAGAGACCTCAGTGGTAACGACTACAGTGCTGTCGGCCTCAGTGGTAGTGGTGGAAGAAGCATCAGCTTCGGTGGTCACTCCTTCGACGCCAGACTCGGTAGTGGAAGCGACAGTGGTTTCTGATTCCGTTGCAGCATCAGTGGTGACGTCAGAGACCTCAGTGGTAACGACTACAGTGCTGTCGGCCTCAGTGGTAGTGGTGGAAGAAGCATCAGCTTCGGTGGTCACTCCTTCGACGCCAGACTCGGTAGTGGAAGCGACAGTGGTTTCTGATTCCGTTGCAGGATCAGTGGTGACGTCAGAGACCTCAGTGGTAACGACTACAGTGCTGTCCGCCTCAGTGGCAGTGGTGGAAGAAGCATCAGCTTCGGTGGTCACTCCTTCGACGCCAGACTCGGTAGTGGAAGCGACAGTGGTTTCTGATTCCGTTGCAGCATCAGTGGTGACGTCAGAGACCTCAGTGGTAACGACTACAATGCTGTCGGCCTCAGTGGTAGTGGTGGATGAATCAGAGGCATCAGCTTCGGTGGTCACTCCTTCGATGCCAGACTCAGTAGTGGAAGCGACAGTGGTTTCTGATTCCGTTGCAGCATCAGTGGTGACGTCAGAGACCTCAGTGGTAACGACTACAGTGCTGTCCGCCTCAGTGGCAGTGGTGGAAGAAGCATCAGCTTCGGTGGTCACTCCTTCGACGCCAGACTCAGTAGTGGAAGCGACAGTGGTTTCTGATTCCGTTGCAGCATCAGTGGTGACGTCAGAGACCTCAGTGGTAACGACTACAATGCTGTCCGCCTCAGTGGTAGTGGTGGATGAATCAGAGGCATCAGCTTCGGTGGTCACTCCTTCGACGCCAGACTCAGTAGTGGAAGCGACAGTGGTTTCTGATTCCGTTGCAGCATCAGTGGTAACGTCAGAGACCTCAGTGGTAACGACTACAGTGCTGTCCGCCTCAGTGGTAGTGGTGGATAAATCAGAGGCATCAGCTTCGGTGGACACTTCTTCGACGCCAGACTCAGTAGTGGAAGCGACAGTGGTTTCTGATTCCGTTGCAGCATCAGTGGTGACGTCAGGGACCTCAGTGGTAACGACTGCAATGCTGTCGGCCTCAGTGGTAGTGGTGGAAGAAGCATCAGCTTCGGTGGTCACTCCTTCGACGCCAGACTCAGTAGTGGAAGCGACAGTGGTTTCTGATTCCGTTGCAGCATCAGTGGTGACGTCAGAGACCTCAGTGGTAACGACTACAATGCTGTCGGCATCAGTGGTAGTGGTGGAAGAAGCATCAGTTTCGGTGGTCACTTCTTCGACGCCAGACTCAGTAGTGGAAGCGACAGTGGTTTCTGATTCCGTTGCAGCATCAGTGGTGACGTCAGAGACCTCAGTGGTAACGACTACAGTGCTGTCCGCCTCAGTGGCAGTGGTGGAAGAAGCATCAGCTTCGGTGGTCACTCCTTCGACGCCAGACTCAGTAGTGGAAGCGACAGTGGTTTCTGATTCTGTTGCAGCATCAGTGGTGATGTGAGAGACCTCAGTGGTAACGACTACAATGCTGTCCGCTTCAGTGGCAGTGGTGGATGAATCACAAGCATCAGCTTCGGTGGACACTTCTTCGACGCCAGTCTCAGTAGTGGAAGCGACAGTGGTTTCTGATTCCGTTGCAGCATCAGTGGTGACGTCAGAGACCTCCGTGGTAACGACAATACTACTGTCCGCCTCAGTGGCAGTGACGGATGAATCACAAGCATCATCTTCGGTGGTCACTTCTTCGACGCCAGTCTCAGTAGTGGAAGCGACAGTGGTTTCTGATTCCGTTGCCGCATCAGTGGTGACGTCAGAGACCTCAGTGGTAACGACTACAGTGCTGTCCGCCTCAGTGGCAGTGGTGGAAGAAGCATCAGCTTCGGTGGTCACTCCTTCGACGCCAGACTCAGTAGTGGAAGCGACAGTGGTTTCTGATTCCGTTGCAGCATCAGTGGTGACGTCAGAGACCTCAGTGGTAACGACTACAGTGCTGTCCGCCTCAGTGGCAGTGGTGGAAGAAGCATCAGCTTCGGTGGTCACTTCTTCGACGCCAGTCTCAGTAGTGGAAGCGACAGTGGTTTCTGATTCCGTTGCAGCATCAGTGGTGACGTCAGAGACCTCAGTGGTAACGACAATACTGCTGTCCGCCTCAGTGGCAGTGACGGATGAATCACAAGCATCATCTTCGGTGGTCACTTCTTCGACGACAGACTCAGTAGTGGCAGCGTTGTCTGTGTCACAGCATGAGTCATCTATCCACAATGTGAAATCAATATTTCTGATTTCAGGGCAATTGACTAATTGATTGCTGAAATTAAAATATGTTATTCTTTTAGCATTTCATTTGGTACATGAGTAGAATTAAAAAACTTATTTTTAAATATGTTATTATATGTACAGTTCAGGTATCTAGAACTGTGTGAAATTATAATTTTTTACATATTTTTCTTCACAAGCAATATTATTCTTTAACTGACTTTCAATACAGAGGTTTTCAGTTGTTGGATGGCTTGTGTCTGTATTATGTTTGTGCACAATTATCATTGCGTTTGACTGAATCAATTTTAATTTGGTTTTCATAAAAATGTTTGTTAGACATTAAACCGATGTTATAATAAGCGTTGAGTGGGTTGAAGTCGGTTTTTTAAACACATATTTTAAATAATTATTTTATGAATTACGTTACTGTTCGTTAATATACGTTCATACATATTATATTTATAAATGTATACATACATACATGATCTCTTTAGTTTTGAATTGAATTTCTGAATTACATTCTGTTAATATCATAATTATGTTTTTATTAGTTACTACTGCATTTCAGGCGATTGTTTTAAATCCTATAGGGTGGTTAATAAAGGTCATTGCCATTGTTCTACAGAAGAACTAAATTAATGATTAAATGCTATCCATTCACTCTACAGTTATGGGTCAGATATGTCTACAAGTCTTATAAAAATTATAATTGGCAATCTATATAAGATACTATTTAGAAATAATTTGCATGCCAGTAACATGCTTCACCTAAATTATTTAAAAATGTTTTTATGGCTATTTGAGGCCTTAATACGAGTATGTTTTACAATTTAAAGTATTAGAAACGAGTACGCGTTCAACGCGCTCGATACTATTACGTTACGAATGCGATAGTTATTCGAGCTTGGCACTCTGATTGGTTGCTTCATTCGAGCCGGCCAATCAGAGCGCAGAACGAGTACCTATTCGTTTCGAATACTTTAAACGTTAATAATATAATAATAATAATAAGTTAATGAAACTGGTACTAAGGCCTCTGTTTAACACTTATGCAATCAGTTTCTAAACGATATAATTATTTTCTAATTCAGTACAATAAACAGAAACGTTTCTTACTTTGAATTGATGTTCAAAAATGCGTTATGTTGAATTTCTTTGACGCCTGCTCCGACACTACAAAGTAATAACGCAGGCGATGCTTTTCTGATCTCCTGCAGTTGTTCTGAAAAACATAATCAGAGGCTAAAACTTAAAGTTAAAATCAGAACATTTATTTAAATGCATCCATGTGAAGGCACTTATAAAACTTTCAAATAGAATTGGATCTAAGTTAAGCAGAAAGCATCCATTGCACACTAGCGCCAAAATGAATATTATATTTAGAATTAATACCATGCCATGAAGGTCGTTAAACTCATGCCAAAATGTATTGTCGGGCGGAGAAGAACAAGTAAGAAATTCTTTTCTTCAATTGTCTATGCCTTGTTATTATACATTATTCTAGGACACACTTCATGTATAAGGTGTAAGACCTATACATTTATTTTTGATTGAATGTTTGGCGCGGTGGTTGGGCAACTGGCAGCCGTGCAACCTGTCGTGGCGAGGTCGGTTCCCGCACGGAACAACTCTATGTGGTATTCACAAATTGTTGTTCCGGGTCTGGATGTCATGTGTATGTGAAATTATGTGACACGCATGACACAGGAGAAGGGCATAGTGTGGAGCTTACCGTATGTAAAAGCGTGTGGACGATTCTGTCTTTCATACCAATGTCTATCAGCTTGTATAATCTTGAGTATATGGTCGTTCATCAAGCAAGCCATTGTTGGTGGAAGATGTCCTCCTTTCATTACCACTTCGTTCCAAATTCCCACCAAAAGTTCTATGTCCGCAACATTCTCGTAATGGTTCATCAGTTTTAATACATTCTGGAAATTACCAAAGCCTTTTTATTTATTCTGTAAGATTCAAGTGTGGGAGAACCATGCTACGGCACGAATCGGCCGGCTCGACAGGAGTGATACCACGATCTCACAGAAAACCGAAGTGAAACAACGCTTTCGTTATGTTTCGTCGTGTGACTGAGGTTACCGGAGGCCCAATTACCCCCTCCCACCCATCCCCACTACCTGAATCCCTAACAATCCTCAAATTCCTAATGCCTTCAAAGGCCGGTAACGCACTTGCTACGTCTCTGGTGTTCCAGGTGTCCATGGTCGACGCTGATTGCTTACCATCAAGTGATCCTGCTCGTTTACCGGCTTATACCATAAAAAAGACTATTGCCACGTGGTTTGAGATCAGATAATCATAATTACTCTTACCTCGTTGTCCATATAATCGTGCAAATCGTTAAAATTTGTAATATTTCTTCCAGTGCAGTAGTAAACGTAGTGTACATATGGGGCTATGCCTAAATTACGGCCCATATCTAACTCACTGGTCACAAAATCTTCACCTCCATCTAAACTGCTGGCCATCAAGTATGCAGTCTGCAAAGAAAAAATGTTGAATTTGAACATGTTGTATTGTTCATAAACAATAACAGTTTCAATTTAAGCTAAGTAAGTACACTCTTGACTTGATTTTTTCTATCTACGATTTGTAGAGGTAGTTAGACATTGTCTAATTATTAATATTTCTTAGTTTTTTAGTTTACAAAAGCTTTTACGTATCTTATTTTTCAGGTAATAACATAATATAACATCACGCCTTTTATCCCCGAAGGGGTAGGCAGAGGTGCACATTACGGCACAATTAATGCCACTGTACAATGTAACACCTACTTGCCTGAGGTTGGGTGAGCCTATTGCCATATACCGTGCAACAACTGAGATTAAAAAAAAACAGTAATACTTTGCCTGACCCGGGAATCGAACCCGAGACCCCTTGCCCAAGTTTACACAAGGAACTCGTCGCCGCGTCCGAACACGCTGCTCATGAAGAAGTCTCTATGTGACTCGAAACTACTAGAGCTATTCTCATTATTCCAGGTGAGTAAACCAGTGTTTCAATTAATTTAGTACGTCTTATATGATCCTTACTAATATTATAAATCGGAAAGTGAGATTGTTTGTTTGTTTGTTTGTTCCACTTTCACGCCATAACTACTAAACCGATTGCTTTGAATTTTTGCAGACGTAAAGTTAGAAGTCCGGATTAAATAATAGGGTACTTTTTAATCCGGACAAATTTGATATTCCCGAGGAAAACCAAAGTATTGGTATAGATGGCGCTGTGTGTATTGGTATGTCACATAGGCTACTTTTAATCCTTTTGTGACGCAAGCGAAGCCGCGGGTAAAAGCTAGTAGTTATTATAAAATGGGAATGGGAACTGGACATGTGACAAGTTTCATAGCAGCCATTCACCAGACTGCTACACTATCGCAGTCGAATTAACCATAGTATAAAAGTACCACCTGAACAAATATTACCATAGAATTAGCATGAACTTTGTAAATGGAACATATACGAACCTCTTTATCGAAACTATGGTCGATCTTTCGAGATGGTTGCCTGAATTGTCCTTGAATCAAGTATTCTCTATTGTTATCCTCATTCAAGAACTCCTGTATCGACTTAATTTTCAACATGTTGATCTCATCAACATAATCGCCATCCTCGTCGTACATTCTGTGGGGTGAGAGAAGAAAGTTGAGAATAGATATGATGCCAGGGTATGAAAATTAAAAATCTGATTAGTCCGTCAGTTAGGTAATGAAAAAATATTAGACACGTATTTTTTTATTTTTTCATACAAGAAAACGATCTTGGATAAAACGAATCAAAGTTTAGGAGTGGGAGCTAAAACGTCATTTCTACGTATAAAACGATCATAGAAGTGACGTCACGCGATATTTCAAATCAATATATCTTCGAAACTTCGTTTTCGTAAGAAAATAAAAATACTTGTGTAATGTTTTAAAATAATCTAGCAGACGGACATTAAAATAAAAATTAGTCATCTACCCTATTGGAACAATAACGTTATAGTTAACAACATAACATAAATCACTGCATTTGCTTCTCGGAGGTGTAGGCAGCAATGCATTATATGACTGATGATGTACTATGACCGACCCTAAGACATTATGTAAGTAAATTAAGAATCAGTGCTACAAAGAGTTTTCGAAAATTGAAATACTCAGTAATACTTTGCCCGATCTGAACCAAATCCGTAATCCTTTATAGCCGGGCAGTCTAATCTCTGTTGATAAAATTGACTGCACGGTTGGTGCGGTGGCTGGACAACCGGCTGCCGTGCAACGTGTCGCGGGTTCGATTCCCGCACGGAACAACACTTTGTGTGACCCACAAATTGTTGTTTCGGGTCTGGGTGTCATTGTGTATGTGAACTTGTATGTTTGTAAACGCACCCACGACACAGGAGAAAAATCCTAATGTGGAGCAACGTTTTTTTTAAAGAAAAAAAAAATATTATTATTCCTTTCTCAATCCCTGGAAAGGTACAACTAAAAGCATACCAGAGGAGAATAAAACTTAGTGAGTAGGTATGGTAGTAACTTTGACATTATGTCGGTCGTGAGAGCGTCGAGGTTTCAAACACTCGCTTCTCATGCATGAGGGTGTAGATTGAAAGTGAAACCTATCAATGCAACGGTAAGTACCTACCAAATTGGTAGGTACTATCACATACCAATGTGATTTTTTTCGAGCTACTGTCAAACACTATAATTTCGTAAGAAAACCTGGGCTTATAATTTCTAATTATAAGTTTGAAATTGCCAACCCGCATTGAGCTAGCGTGGTGATTAATTTATTTATTTTTTTATTATGCTCCAAACCTTATACGTGCGAGAAGAAGCTGTTGGTGTGATGTGATGTTTTGTACACTCACACTTTAACCTTGATCGATACAATCAATTCAACCATTTTTCTTTGAACCAGAAACATGTAATAAGTTAAAAGTGGTTAAAAAACTTACCTCAGTGGGAAGTAAATGTTAAAAACTCAGTTTACTTACTCAGCGTTAGCATCTAGAGTGCTTAAGAACCAGCTAGAAATATAGAGAAACTCTAAAGAAACTGTCGGGTATTTAGTTTCATCATAAATATCCCTGAATCCAGTGTCATTTGCTAGAATTCCAACGTTGATTAGATGTTCACGTCCTAGAAATAAATAGAAATGTCGTTAATAGATTTTCAATATTACCTGCTACTACTGTAAATCTAAATCAACGTTAACATCCCAGCCAGTTCCGCCACCTCTCGCTGTTGTGGAAAGCGGGCAAACTGGTCCTCGTGAGGAAGACGGGGCGCCCTGCGTACTTTCCGACCGCGTACCGGCCCATCGTGCTGCTCGACGAGGTGGGGAATGTTTTCGAAAGAATTATTAAAATTTCGAACCGCCCCGTCGCGCACCTGTCGGATGTTGGGCCGGACCTATCGGACGGCCAATTCGACTTTCGCAAAGGGCGTTCCACGGTGGATGCCATCATGCGCGTTAGAGACCTCACGACGAGACTGCACTGCCCAGAGGTAAGGTCGTAGTGGCGGTGTCTTTTGACATCGCCAACGCCTTCAACTACCTGCCCTGGAGCTGCATGTTGGAGGCACTCCGGCGTATTACTCTGTCGTATAATCGACTTGATTGGCTATGACTGGGTTCTGCACACCGACCTCCCGAACGGCGTTAGCATCGTATGCTACGCCGACGACACGCTGGTGATAGCGCCTGCGCAAGGGAGGTCGTACCAGGCGACGGCAGTTTTGATGGCGACAGCGGTTGCGACAGTCTTTGAAAGAATCCGGCAACTGGGACTGAAGGTGGCGCTCCACAAGTCTGAGGCCATGTGCGGGGTACGCGCCACCAAGTCCCAATAACGGCGGGAGGGGTTACCATCGGCGTCGAGACGACGAAGAAGTACCTGGGACTCGTCTTCGACAGTCGGTGGAACTTCGTGGAGCATTTCCGACGTTTGGCTCCTAAGTTGGAAAGGACGGGGGTGGTGCTTAAGCGCCTCCTACCCAACCTCGGGGGGCCAAACGTCTCCTGCCGGAAGTTATACGCGGGGGTCGTGCGTCCATAGCCCTCTACGGCGCCCCTATATGGACGCCGAATCTGATGCGGCGGCCCGCTTGGGCGCCGCTCACCTCTCAGAGGGTCATAGCGATCCGTATGATCCGCGCATACCGCACGATACCCGGGGAGGCGGCGAACCTCCTTAGCCTTAATCTATATTATTATTCTGGATCACAACTTTTTACAGTTTTCACACACACGCACATTTTGCAGAATAATTGCTTTGTTTCGACAATTCTACCTCTATATTTATTTCTATTTTCTTATTGAACGGCGGTACCGCCGTCCGTGAGTCACTGCAAGGTGCCACCTGTAAACCAGCATTGGACATGTATCTACGCTACGCTCAACTAAGTACCTATATTATTATACTGAGGTCGAAGTGCTTTTAGCATGGGCAGGCGCACTGTAATATTGGGGCAACGTTTTTTTTTTAAATTATCGTTTTTTAATACCTATTTAATTTCTGTTATTATTGTATATACACATTTTATTATAGGTAGGCATCTACTTTGTTATTTTTATGTTCTTTTCTTTACTCTTTTAAGTTTTTATTATTTATTATTATTTTATTTGTATTGGTATAATCCTAACCAGATCCAAAGTAAGATGATAGGTAACGTCACCGCACCGTCCACCAATCCGTTAAAACAAAATAATCGCGATGAATCTTTAATTTTACATTAAGCTTTGCTAACCAGTATAAACTGATCGTTGAATATGAGGAAAGATCATACAAAACGAGACCAAGATAAAATGGTTATTGTAATTGTACTCGCGACTGTGTAGAACTATTTAGGTACCTATTTACCTTACTCATTGAGGGGCATGTAAGTACAGAGATTTGATGAAAGGTTGGTAAGCACCAGGTACCACATTTCACATTTGATTTGAAAACAAGAAAACATATTTTCATAAACTTTGCGTGCACATAACCTGCTAGCCAGCTACAATTAGTCACAATACCTATTATTGTGAATAGAACGAATAAAATTACCTTTTTCAGTTACGCCTAATCCGGGCACACACACGTAACCGCCTTTAAAAACATTTCTTGAAACGACAACGCGGATAACACACTCGTTTTTAATTCATTTACACACACATCACCAGCACAGAGCTTACTGCCGCAATTTTCCATAATTTATTTACGGTTACAATTACAATTTATTTACTCAAATCACTCAGAAAACCAATCAAAACAAAATTCCGCGTAAAGCACCAGTTACTGTTCTATTTTCAAACAAGACAGTTACGAAGTAGTTCCTACACCAACCACGATCACACAATGGTTGGGCGGCGGCGCTGGTGGCAGCGACACGATATCAAAGGTGAAATTGTGCAAATATCGATTTCACAAAGAATATTTGGTATTTTGTAGTAGTTTGCAAATTTAATCATAGATGGCACTATTACTATTTCTCCAATTTAATTACGAATTTATGTATGATATCTGACTTTCGTATCGACTTAATGAGTGTAAGTACGTATTTATTTACCTTTCTAAGCCGATTACCACATGTTAGAAAGAAAAGATGCGAATATCGATAGGTATCACAAAGAATGTTGTCGTAGTTCGGTTTTTTTTCCATAGATGGAACTTTTACAATTTCTTCAAATTATAAGTAAATCAGAATTTAATTAAAATTACGAAATTGTGTATAATGTTTGACATTCGTATCGAATTAATGAGTGAAATTACGTATTTATTTACCTTTCTAAGCCGATTACCACATGTAAGAAAAAGTACCTAGGTACCTAGATGCCAATATCGTCTAGTTGACACGCACTTGTAAGTAAATAATGAAGTAGTTACAGTTGTAGGTAATACCCTTATTCATAACATTATTGCAACCAAACTATTTAACTAATAGGTACAATGGCCAGCTGCAAATCAACGTACCTTATTTTTCAAATTTATTCATTGGATTTTCGACTTTATGTCAATACAATAAAGTTGAAGATACCGTACCACTAATAAATACCTAGGTGTAGGTACATCAGCAGCGCGGTGTCATGCGGTCGGTTTCTTGTGACGGCTATTGCCTATTCTCAAAAAACTAGCGGGGCGGCATACGCCGGGGTCGTGCGGTCCATGGCCCTCTACGGCGCCCCTGTTTGGGCGCCTAACCTGTTGCGGCGTCCCGCTCGGACGCTGCTCATGGCACAGAGGGTCATGGCGATCCGAATGATCCGCGGATACCGCACGATCTCTGGGGAGTCGGCGAACCTCCTTGCCGGATTACCGCCGTGGGATCTGGAGGCGAAGGTGCTCGCGCGCGTGCACAGCATGCGCGCGGAGGCACGTCGCCGGGGCGAAACTCCGCTGCCGCGCCAGATAAGTGCGTGGCGGGATGAGCTCCGGCGCGATCTCATGGCGGAATGGCAGCAGCGACTGTCGCAACCGAGGACTGGGCTCGCTGCCATCGCAGCGGTAAGTCCCCTCTTTGAGGAGTGGCTTGAGAGACGCTACGGCGTCCTCACCTACCGCCTGACGCAGGTCCTCACCGGACATGGCAGTTTCGGGAGGTACCTGTGTCTGATGGGGCGGGAGGAAACGCCCGGGTGTCATCACTGCGAGGACCGCCCTGAGGACACGGTGGAACACACGGTGGGAGAATGCCCTTCGTGGGCTGAGCACCGCCGTGTCCTCAGGGAAGTGATCGGCGATGGCGACCTCTCGCGTCCGGGCCTAGTGCAGGCCATGATGCGGAGCGAGGGGGATTGGGATGCCGTCTCCTCCTTTTGCGAAGCAGTCATGCTAGCTAAGGAGGAGGCGGGACGCGTGAGGCAGCGAAGCGCTGCCTCCTCGCAACCCAGCCATCGCGAAGGACACACCGGGCGTCGGGGATCGCGGGACGATCTCCGGCCACCGTAAGCGCGGGCCTGCGGACGGCGAGCATGGGTGGCTCCCCGTCCGACCAGAAACAGACCCGAGCGTACGGCGCGTCGCGTTCCGCGCGCGCCTCAAAGAGCCATCAGACCACCACAGATGGGGTCCAATAGGGCCGATGCCGATTCGGAGTCGCGGAGAACCTAACGGGTAACCGGGGCTCCGGCTCGACGTGCAGGAGAAGGAACGGGGTGGTTTTTAGTCAGTAAGAGTCTGACACTCCCTTCCGCCTCACCCAGGCGGGAGCAGTCATTCGATGATTTTCCCCCCTTAAAAAAAAAAAAAAAAAAAAAAAAGCGGGGCGGCATCGTGAACGGGGTAGATTCACTTTCGGTTTGTTTTGAGAAAAGTCGCTGAGCTGCGGCGTTCGGCGCGTGCCAAAGGTGCACGAGTGAAATAAGGAAAAATACAATAGGTAGGTAGGTATGTTTTCGTCCATTGCTAGCTTCATGTTTTTTATTAAATTATTTTACTATAATATATATTTTAATGATAACCCGAGAAGTAAATTATCACGTAGGCAAGCAAAATTCAATTTTTAAATTGTTTAAGCATAAGAAAACACACAATATCTGTAGATTATTAGATAAGTACCTAGTTATTTATCGATTAAAATGAATCGATAAAATCAATACCTACTTTTTCGTTCGTTATTTATTGATGAAATTGAAAATGAATGTTGAAAATTGGTGCATACCTACCTAGGTATTAACAATTTTCATCACAACACCTCTATTGCAGTGAATTACACTGCGAAAACATCTATGAAAAATCCTTTTTTTTTAAATATCAAGTTATAAAGGACATGTCGAGTTTTGGCGTACGGGCACCGAGAAAATGCATAATTAAGCATGAATGAAATGTACTTCGCTAAGCTCGTAGGTACCTACTTTACGTGACCGTGAACTTTTACCGGTCAAATATTTTTTAGCCTATAAGCCTAACGGGTTACCGGGGCTCTGGCTTGAAGAGCAGGAACGGGGTAGTTTTTAGTCTGTAGGTAAGAGTCTGACACTCCCTCCCGCCTCACCCAGGCGCTTTTGGCCCTAATATTGGAGGGCACGTACCCACTGGCTGGTATTGGCACCAACGTATGAGCCAATTTACGGAACTAGTTTTAACACGTTAACCGCCGCGTAGGTCACCGGTGACCTACGTTAGCGGAGGATTTGCCTTCAACAGTTTTCTGTCGGCAGTCAAAGGTTTAAAACATAACTGAAAATACCAACGGCAAAAGTTTATCTCAAGGCACTTACCTTCGAATAACTCTAACCATTCATAAAGTAAAGTTTGTAGGAAAAAAGCAATGTTAATTTCTCTTGATTCTTTGAACAGTCTCTCATCATCCCAGCATGGATTGAGGGCAGCTAAATGACCAGCAATGTAGTTGTGGTACTTCACAAACCAGGTCCTCATTAATATTAGGGGCATGGTTGGAACTGGAAGAATGCAATGAGTTTTGGTAAGGATGAAGTATGAGTTTTTAACACAAAGATGTTTTTGTTAATGCCTGTAAATCTATATCTGTTCGTTTTTAAAAATATGATTTTCGTTACCTATACCTACGACTATATGACGTCATGATTTTTTGGTCATATTGTAATAGTACAGAAAGGGTAAAGTAACAACACAACACACAGTTTAAACAGTACTTATTTTTATATTTGTGTTATTACATAACATCATAACATCACCCCTTTTATCCCCGAAGGAGTAGGCAGAGGTGCACATTTTGCCATTGTACAATGTAAAACCCACTTTTCACTATTTATGTTATGAGTTCTATGTAATAGAGGGTGAGCCTATTGCCATATACCGGGCACAATTCCATACTCCGTGCTATTACTGAGAATTTTTTAAAAACTCAATAGTACTTTGTCTGACCCGGGAATCGAACCCGAGACCCCTTGCCCGGCAGTCGCCCTTGCGACCACTCGGCCAACGAGGCAGTCTTCTGGCAGCAGTAATTGTGTTATTGTTAGTTCAAAAGCTAACAATTATAAAACCCAAATACCTACACTATATCTTTCACGGGAAACACAAAACCTCATCATACCTACTACTTTTTTTCCAACTGTAGCAACAATTTAACTCAAAAAATAAGTAATAATATATACTTACAATGTTCATATCGCCTATATTCGCATTCGTCGCTCAAAGACGAATCGGTTTCGTTTATATCATCGTCATCTAATAGTTCTCCTCCAACATATGATCTAATTTCTTTGTCGCCATTGTTCCCTGGATTGTAGATCCCTGACAAGTCGAATACATTCGTCACGTCCACGACCTGCGTACATACAACAATGCAATGGTTGGAAAAAAATATGGAAAATCATATGGTTGAGTTTAATACATTCACCACCTCTGAACGTCCCGTAGCTGTCATAAGACAGCTCTTAGTCAGCACTAAAGTACTGCATATTTAACAGAGACAGCGCAGCAGCGTTGTCTGATAAACCCTCTTTTAACATTTCTGTGGATAAACCTGATCTTTTTATACTGCAATCTCCAACCCGCTTCTAATCATGTGGATTATGGCAAACCTCTCTTTTACAGTGCTCTCTCTCTCTCTCTCTCTTCTGCTTGCAGTGGACTCTAAAGTAATGATGATAACGTTTTAAAAAGTACTATTGCTTGAAGACTTGTAACTTGATTGAATAGGTTTGGTTCATGCTCTTATGATGTCCAAGATAGTACACAAGTTACACTTATATAAATACTTTAAATATACAACACCGCACCAACCGTGCATTCACTGCACGGTTGGTGCGGTGGCTGGGCAACCGGCTGCCGTGCAACGTGTCGCGGGTTCGATTCCCGCATGGAACAACACTTTGTGTGATCCACAATTTGTTGTTTCGGGTCTGGGTGTCATGTGTATGTGAACTGTATGTTTGTCAACGCACCCACGGTACAGGAGATACCCCTAGTGTGGGGCAACGATTTAAAAAAAAAAGTGTTAAAGGGTTTACATACATTCATACATAACGTCACACCTGTCTCCCATGGCGGTAGGCATCGACTATGGAACGCCAATTGCTACGATACTTACATACGTCGTTCTCTTCATCAACAGACATTGGCTTCTATCATGCATAGGTTTACACTAGTCATATACTATTGAAATATTTGATAAATGTCCTTGTACTCACCGGTGTCAGAACTGAATCGTTGGAGCACCCAAGTTCTTGGTAACTTAACAAAGTACTATTACCCGGGTACCAACCTGAAAAAGCAAAAACAGATCTTAATAGCGATTGGATACGCGGGAGGGGCCATTGGCCAACTAAAATGAGTATAACCTTGTCTTTTTACTATAGAAAAAACAAAAATCGAACTCACGTGAATTATTCAAAGCTCCGACATCCCAAAACATGAACATTCCGAAACTTGTCATGAGTTGAGTGAAATTGCAGTCATTGCGTTTGTATCCAGACAATATCGTTTGTCCAATATCCCTCGATACTGGCAAACTATTGCCTGATACCGCTTTTCTTGGATTGTAATCTGAAACAAGAGTAACATTAACATAGCCGCACGGTTGATCTGGTGGCTGGGCAACCGGCTGCCGTGCAACGTGTCGCGGGTTCGATTCCCGCACAAAACAACACTTTGTGTGATCCACAATTTGTTGTTTCGGGTTTGGGTGTCGTGTGTATGTGAACTTGTATGTTTGTAAACGCACCCACAACACAGGAGATAATCCTAGAGTGCGACAAAGTTTTTTTTAAATAAACAAAATCTTAATTTCAACATTATCTTACTATCCTTACTTCCTTACTAATAATATAAATCTAAAAGTGAGTTTGTTTGTTTGTTCCACCTTCACGCCGTAACTACTCAACCGATTGCTTTGAATTTTTGCAGACGTAAAGTTAGAAGTCCGGATTAAATAATAGTGTACTTTTTAACCCGGAAAAAATTGATATTCCCAAGGAAAAACAAAAGTATTGGTATTGATGGCGATGTGTGTATTGGTATAATGTCACATAGGCTACTTTTTATACTTTTGTGACGCGAGCGAAGCCGCGGGTAAAAGCTAGCAATATTATAAATGCGAAAGTTTGTTTGTTTCTTTGTTACTTCTTCACGTCAAGACGACTGAAGGGATCGAGATGAAATTTGGAGGAGAGGTAGATTATCGTCTGTAATAAGACATAGGCTACTTTTCACCCCACAGGATATGTTACGATGAAGTCTCAATAACAGAAATTAAGTACAAAAGTGAAGTCTTCTGTAAAATGCTGCTGTTCCATGTCGACTTAGATTTTCACAGATTTAAAGAAAGTTTAATGTGACACTGGGATTATTGACCCTAAGATTTGATCAATAGTCATTAATATCAGCCAAAACATATTGCTAAACTGAGGCCTTCTAGAATTATGTGCAACTTGACCACTTGGAGTGTCCAATAGTCACCGTTATCTGATCTTCTATCAGGAATCATCAGGAAATAGTGCCTAAAACTAGTATAGTATAGATCTACACTCAATTCATTTGAGATCTTTTCTCAAGTACGATTGGAAAGGGATGAAAATACATTCTGTATTTAACCCCTCGAGCGTCCTTATGAGCACCCGGTGGATCATAAGAAAAAATGCTCCATGCTGCTTTCTCTTTTATAAAATCTATTATTAATGTTTTGTTTTTATTTTGACTGTATTTTTATTTCTATTGTATTGGTCCTTGTTTTCGTGTGCCAATGGCCAAATAAATTCTTTCTTTCTTTCTCCAAATGTCACGTGTGCACCCGTTGGATCATAAGGAACGCGGACGCTCGACGGGTTAAGGTATGGATCCTTTTCCCATTACGCTTGAGCAGAGATCTCCGCTTGAGTAGCGCTATTTAATAAAATCCTAACTATTAAATATATTGTCTTACCATTATCGAAGACTGGAAGTACAATCCTTTTCGGTGGCGTCAAAGAAACTCCTTTTGCAGGTCTATTGATATTATTGCACGAGCCATCGACTCGTCTTAACTCTTCGGTATCGCAAGATGTAATATTGACTGTGCAGGTTCTGTAAAATGCACCACAGAGTAGGTATTAAAAAACTACTTCTTTTCTACAATTTCTTTACCTAGAATATGTGTGATACACTATCTACGTAACATATCGTAATTATACACTTTTAACAGTTTAATAGTAAAAATTCCTAATCTCAAAAGGCCGGTGACGCACTTGTAACGCTTCTGGTGTTCCAGGTGTCCATGGGCGACGCCGATTGCTTACTATCAGGTGATCTGTCTGCTTGTTTACCGGCTTATCCCATAAAAAAGGTAAAACGGTAGGTAGACAAAAGAAGGTAGATAGTTTTTACAGAAATTGTACGTATTACAAAGTTTCTTTCTCTTTCATTATACGTATTTCATGCCCACATAAATGAAAATTGGAATAAAAATCGTGGCAAAAATATATTTTGAAAACGTGGCAATGAAAGATGGCGTCTGTTTGGTCTGGTTACACAGACGAGATCATGACGCACGTATCAAGTGCTTAATTTAATTATTTATACTAATTTTCACTATTTTATAAAAGTTCTATTATGCCTAAGGTGGAATGTTAACTATGCGGAGCGTTGGCGTGCAACTTTAATAATAATAATAGCACTCTGCAGGATTTAAAGAAAACTTAACCAATTTTAACCACGCGGTGTAACTAAAATCAACCGTCTTTTTGCGGTTCAAAAGAAAACAAACAACCACGCATAATTTTAGTCATATTTCATAACTGCAATCATTTTAAAACCGACGATGCCGTATGTGAACAACTACTTAAATTGCTTAAAGTAATTACAAAGCATAATTTATCTGATAACTCTTAAATACTTTAAATATTTTAATTGCTACGTTTTTGTGTAGCATTCTTAACGCTTTTTACCGAAATCAGCAATTCTTAGGTAATGTATTATATACATTCGTATTTTGTCCTTACAAAATATCTACTACTTAGTATCCAATGTCACTTTTTAAATACATAGGTACTAGCTTTAAAATCGCACGTTGTCATTATAACTATTGTCATCAAGTCCGTAAAACAATTAAAACCTTTATCTGACCTTTCCCTTAGGTATTCACATAAGCTTAGTACAAGACTCGAGGCAATCTGATAGAAAAACACAGGTACTTACTCCGTAAGATTTGCATTTTGATAAATGGAAAGCTGTTCATCCGAGAGGGCTTCTCCAGTGAAGATATCATACACTGCTGCCCCACTCAAATTAGCACAGAAGTACAAAAAGAAGAGACCCGTCACCAACATCTGGTTTTTGGATTTCCTTTATAATACACTTGCGGCCAGCAAAAGCGTTTGTATAATTTCCATACGTCTTTTATAACTTATATGGCTGGTAACAATTGCAGACATACATATTTATATTTTAAGATGCAAGTCAATATACGTCATTTTAACCCAATTACTGCAGATGGTGGGTATCATTTCCCCTTAATGTTTTAAATATAGATTTTTTTCTTTGTTTCCTTGATGGTATTATCTTTATTGTTGGCTTTGTTTAAATATTTTTTATTTGTTTATTCAATGATCGATGGAATATATTATAGTGTGTTGACTTTTGATTTAAAAATCTGTTCAGGTGTTTGCTGCTTTTGAAGAACATAATTCATACTAATTGATCAATGTTCACATTACTTGGGTATGTTTTGTCTGTCTAAGCTTACTTAGATGTTGAATATTTTAACGCCCAATGACATTAGGTACCTACATTACTGACCCAAAACAAGGTTTTACTTTCCAAAATATTTTTAGATTGGGATTTTCAGATTTCATCCTTTCAAGGTCAAAACAATATGATAAAGAAATAAACTTTTCCAGGTTAACATATAGGTATGATAGACACCCAAGAGGTACATATACTTGTTAAAAAATACAGTTTTTGTAGTAGGGTTATTATCTTCACCTTCCTAGCTTAGTACACTGAACATAGTTTACTTAAGGAAAAAATTAAACAAAAATACATAAAACAGCTGAACACTATTTGGGATCCGCCTCATTTCGATATGAAAAGAAAACCCTTGCACTTTATACCTCTATAATTTTCGGAATAATAAAATTATGTTTTGTACAAAACTTTTTACTACATGTATTTCTTGAAGATGTGTTTAAACAAAGTTTAACTTCTGAAAATTTAAAAATAAATCTATAGGACACCAGAAAACGAAAGACGTCGACGTAGTTGAGTTAGTAGACGTAGGCGTGACGTAGTTGAGTTTCAAGTCACTAAGCTCATACGATGAAAACCAAACAAACTTGATTCCACGCTGTTTTTTTTAGAGACTGTCGCTACGCTCCAGTCAAACTAGTCCCACGAGCGTGCGGCGCGCGCTTCAAAGAGCCATCAGACCACCACAGATGGGTCCATTAGGGCTGATGCCATTACGGAGCTGCAGAGAACTTAACGGGTTACCGGAGCTCCGGCTCGAAGTGCAGGAGTAGGAGCGGGTGGTTTTTGGGTTTAGGAACAGGGTGGTGGAACTCCCTCTCGCCTCACCTAGACGGGAGAAGTCATTCGATGATTTCCCCCTCCCCTTAAAAAAAACAATAAGTTGAGCTAGTCCATTCGTTCCTATATCCTAACCGATGCTGGAAAGGTATTTAGTTCTATCACAATGTTATCTACCTAGTTACCTTTTGTTACTTGTGTTTATAATAACTATCGTGAGACATACTAAATTAAGTAAAATTTTGTTACATTTCAAAAAGCTTAGATTCATATTTTTGGTTTGTTTCACAATGCTATGTCTTTTGGATTTTGAACCATCTACCACATCAACCAGGTCCTTACAATTACGAGGATGGAGAATCAGGACAATAATATAATACATTACATACAATCTATCGTCTTCTTCATTATCATCATCATATCAGCCATAGGCCGTCCACTGCTGAACATCGTCTTATTCACCTGATTTTCGACATTATTCGGTACAGAATCTTCCCAGAGTGCATCACTTACTCTTGACCTTATCTTCTTCCTTACCAGCACAGTTGTGGACGGAAGCTATTTACTTATAAAAGTGAGACGTGTATTTAAACAATGTAATTGAACAGCTGTACCAACAAAATAATGCACGTAATAATTTCTTATTAATGTTCCTATCATTTTATCCGCACGTGGCGTGAAATATTAGTGTTTATTATTTTTATGATGTGTTTCTTTAAATTATGATTGTGTTGCATTATCAGCGATCTTTTTATGCCCTTTAACATATTTGCTCTTTCTATCTCATGTATGTCTAATATGTAAATTAATATTACCTTTGATCGATTGTGTGGGATAAAGAGTAGACGTATTCGCCTCTGAAACGTGACTGTACAGCGTCTGCCTCCGATTGAGCATAAGTCTTGTAACCAATATTGTTTAATCATGCTGTATTAACTTTATACATTGGAAAAGACAACGACATACCTATGTAAGTCGTCGAGAAAGGTCGTCAGGTGCAGTGTTTGTCGTTATTGCCAATGATTTGATAGAAATTACAATATTTGCGTTGCGTTCATAATAAATTATCTCGGGTATAACATGAATTCTATCTTTACATGTTCGCCCTCGTCCATCTGTATGTAATGCATATACGTACTGAAACAATACCTTCTGCGCAGTTAGTTTTTTGAAATATTGCTTAGTATTGTACGAGTAATCTAAATCGTCTTAAATATATTGGATGGATAAAAATGTTTAGGAGGTACATTTGTTTGGTGAAATTGTTTAGACTTTTGTCTTTTTCCTAGATATTTTAGATTAAATGATGGTGCAATACGGTTGCAATATACTCAATTACATACTATAGGTATTGCATACGTACCACATACCTACATATTTAGACAGGCCACCCAGAATAAACATAAAAAAAAAACAATTATTTTTATATGGTAGGACCATAGACGACAATCTGTAAGTCTGAGGTGGAAAATGCTCAAGTGACTCCTCACGTCGTAGGTCAACTCATGCTCCATGCTGGGCCGTGGTAACTCATTGCCTTTTACCCACAACCTCAGAGCGGTTGATCTTTGCGGCCACAGTAACTTAGTCATGCACTTCATGGCTGTGCAGCAAATTAATGACTTCAGAGGTGATGTCGGTGTAAACCAGGTTTAACGTGAATAACAATACTGTTAGAAGCATAGACAAAAAGGAACGAAATGTCATCGCGTAGCGGGAAAATATAATCTGTGGTTCGAACAATGAAAAAGTCAAGATGGCGGGAACTCGGAAATTATTGAGACGGTGTATTTGGTGTTGAGGGAATTTTATTCTATTTGAAAGTCAATTTGCCTATTTATGTGTTGTTGTCGTTGTTTTTCTTTCCAATTAAGTTATGGTTTAGCTAGTCCTGATTTTGTAATTTGATTTCGATGTTAACAATATAAGGTGCATTGTAATGGTGGTAATCTTTATTTTTCCTGCCTCCTGAGTTTTTAGAATCATAAGTGGTTTGAAACCAATAAGTTTCTAATGTCAAGGAGTTGGGTGAGCTCTATGACAGTTTTTAAGTTTTCTAATATCAGAAGTGGGATACGATTATTTTCCATGCGTTCTGACTTTCTATGTAGATAATACTTACATGATACTGCAAATTGACTATTCAAAGTTTTTCATTTGTTATAAGTAAGTTCGTATTCATGTACTTAGTAGGTACGTTGTGATCGAGGTATTGTGGCAAATTGTGGTAACGTATAACTATGACTGAAACTTACGGTGAGTACGTTCCAATTCCCGTTTGAAAAGCTATAATGCTTTTGTGTATTTGTACGTGTAAGCTACAAATAAATAAAATTGTGAACTCAATGTTTAAACTATTCCTACTAATTTTCTTTTAAACTGTCAAACACCAAGCGGTCACCGGTGACCGCGACCTATTGTTCTTTAATTGTGTCTATAAAACCGGTACTCGACGAGTCAAGTTAAAATCTTTAACAATCTCAAGTTCTGTCACTGTAATTTGTTATACCTACCTATGTCCTTTACTGTTACAAACAGTAAGGAGAGACAATGAATGTCACGTAGGTACTGAAGTGATTCTGCTAATATTCCTAGGCGATTCTGCTAACATGGCTTGTGTAAAGTGAACTGAAACACTAAATTTTGATTTGTTTGACTGCATGGAGGAGTGATGTTGCCAATTGCTGGTGAGGAAACGTGAGCTCAACACCGGTGCGCCTGCCTGTGCTGACGTCGCTACAGCTACAGTTCATGACTGCGGCAGTAGCTGAGCGTCGATGGTTGGTGGCAGTAGGTGAATCGACTTCGCTTGGACTGCTATGCTATGCAAGCTTGGTTCACCGTGTTGTAGAAGCAATACATTCAATGAACAGGCTGGTGAGATCTAATCTTACTTTTATATTTTGTATTCTTTATCTGCTAATTTTTTTGATCAACAATATAGACACCAGACCTGGTATGAGGCAGTAAGATACCAAGAATATAAAGTTTGAATTATTGAAATGAAAATGAGTACCTGTTTTACAACGGCAACTGCTTAAAAGCTAAGTCCAAGGCTTAATGCATGGGTTGGGTTGCCGTTGGTTGTATTTAGAGTAATGCAAAGGATTAGTTTGTGAAACCTTTGTGCTTTTGAATACTTTGTATGAAGTCATGACTACAAATACTGATCAATATCCAACATATGAATGCTGAATATGCTTATCGATGACTGTTAAAAGTTACAGTTAAAGTCAATGGGTTGATGATAAGCATATTACAGCAGTAGTAATATTGAACCAAGTTTCAACTATAAATTGTTGGGTGTCGTTTGTTACAAAGCAAAATACATCAACTGTTAACAAGTTAACTAATTATTAACAATGTTTGTGTTCTTATGTTATCAGGCATTATTTGTTATGTTTACACTTGAGAGAGGTCAATACATTAACAAACTTTTACTTAACTTATGTATAAATGCATGTATGCGTGTGAAGTGGCATCTTGCAACTGAATTTTGAATCACAAATCTTTAGGCGATGGAGCTGAAATTTTTTTATAAGTATGTGTTCAGGTTTAGCTGTGAATTCAGCTGAAGTTTTACATTTTTGCTTGACTTGAGATTATGTATATCAAAGTAATGTAATCCAAAGAATAAAGATTAAAATCAGAACAGGAGAAGCGCTGTATGTTAATGCAAAACATATTTCTCTTCTAATATGCACCCTTCACCACAAGTTAAGAACTTGTGCAGAATTGTGAAAAATGCTACATGTTACTGCTTGAATCATGTCTTAGGTAGTTGTACAGGGAATTACTGTTGTTATAATGGTAGACAGCAGTATGTGTTTGTTTCTCCTTAGCAGCGTTACCCTTGATAGAGTGTTGATGTGGTTGTTGTACTGTAGTGGAGGTAGGTTGCCAGTATGCACCTCACAGTTACTGTAATCCATAATATGTATGTCCGTTCTGCACTTGTTTAGCAAATTTGTAAATACAGACTTAATTTGGTTTGTCCACCGCATGAGTAACCTCTTGGGAGGCCGAGAGTGCTTTCTACTACCGGTGAACAAGCTGCAACAGATAGCTGTAAGCCGTACTTTATCAGGCATGGCATCCTTACACTTCCGTCTCTGTATATACTTGAGATAGCAATGTTTGTGTATAGAAATCCTCACCTTTTCGAACGGCTGCGTGATATTGTGCCGCGAAATCGGCGGAACAATAATAAACTGTGTCTTCACACAGCAGTAACGAGTCTTATGGGAAAGAGTCTTTTATGTATGGCGCCAAAAAATATACAATAAAATCCCAAACGACTTAAACATTTCAATATTAGTATATTCAAAAATAAATTAAAATCAATTTTATCCAAGAAATGTTATTATAATGTAAACGACTTCTTTAATGACGGTAATTTGTAGGACATTTATAAGTTTAACTTTTATTTATTTAAGCACTGACATTTTAATGTATTATACTATGACATTTTTATTTTATTTTTTTTGTTATATTACCTTTATTGACTTAAGCTAACAATATTTCATACGCCTGTGAGGGCAGATTTTGGTGGTACTATCTTAATACTGTGATCATAATTATTTACCCAAAATGTAATGAATAAATGATTTTGATTGATTTGATCGGTTGTTCCTCCTAGAAACGTGACTAGACTCTGAAGAGTGTCAGGATACATCATTGTATGTTGAAAGATGATGCCTAATTTGTTAATCGTTTTGTTGCTTAAAATTTCAAATATGTACACAACCCAGTTTTTAGTGTTTTAATCGAGTTTGTTACCTTGATATATTACTTGAGAGGGTTCATGCTGGATCTTATGAATACTCTCCTTATTTTAGCAACACCGATGTCCACGTATTGAACCGCTAGTGTTACTTATGTTAGCTGACTCGCGAGAAGTAACGTTTACTGGTAGGCAATGTTTTACATACTGACGACATGAGTACCATGTTGATTGCGTGATAAAAAATTTAAGTAAGTTTTTCCGATGATCAATGATGATGCTGATTCGGTGATAATGTGGAAATTTACAGGATTCCATCAAAAAAAAAAAATATTTAGGATGAACTAAAAGTCATAGTCAGGTGTGTCCGAGCGGATACAGAATGTCTTGACAAGATCAACTCAGACATTTGTAGCCCGTATATTGTGGTGAAGTCTACAGCGCCAAGTGTTACGACTGCTAATAGCAGGCAGACCCGTGTGAACACGCGACACAGACTGTGGCGGAGTTCATAGTGCTATGTGGATAGCATATAATTATAGAAATGTGTGCTGTCTTCTTTGAGAATTACCTTCCCACACAATATGATACGCTAACATTGTGTGATATCTGATGTGTATTGTGTGTGTAATGTGCGTTTGAATAATATGCTAACGTAGATATTAATTATGTTACACATGTGTTTGAGACTCATGATACGCTAACGTAGTGCCTATGTCATGTAGTCGTTATAGCAGAGATAGCTAACGTCGTGCTTCCTCTCTGAGTATGTTCTATGATCGTGAACTATGCTAACGTCGTGCCTATGGTTCACCATTGATTGTGTTTTTTCCTGTGTTCGTGACTCATGATACGCTAACGTCGTGCCTATGTCATGTAGTCGTTATAGCAGAGATAGCTAACGTAGTGCTTCCTCTCTGAGTATGTTTTATGATCGTAAACTATGCTAACGTCGTGCCTATGGTTCACTATTGATTGTGTTTTTTTCCTGTGTTCGTGACTCATGATACGCTAACGTCGTGCCTATGTCATGTAGTCGTTATAGCAGAGATAGCTAACGTAGTGCTTCCTCTCTGAGTATGTTTTATGATCGTAAACTATGCTAACGTCGTGCCTCTAGTTCACTATTGATTACTTTACTGTGTTGGTGACTTATGATATGCTAACGTCGTGCCTGTCATGTAGTTGTTATAGTAGAGATAGCTAACGTAGTGCTTCCTCTCTGACTATATTTTGAATTATTATGGATCAATGTGTACATGTCGTTGTTTGTGTTGGTAACCAACGACATCCCGATACAATTTTTATAATTTCAGGTGCAGAAGGTATTGAACTCACACGTCACGTTTTTGGTAATTGATAAGATTAACGATTTAATATGGGTCGATGTGTCTTCGGAAAAAACCGGTGTCCCGACCCAATCCTTATGTTCTCAAGTGATGATTATGTTGTTTCCATGGATCATGTGATACGGTAATATGATGCCTATCATGTGGTCCACATTAACCGAGATAGCTAATGTTGTGCCTCCTCTCTGGCTATTTTTTTGTGACCTGCGCTAACGATTTAAAATGGATCGATGTGACCGCCGGTAACCACCGTCGTCCCGATCCAATTCTTATGTTCTCAGATGCAAACAGTATAGAGTTCACAGCTGAACAAGCTGCCAGAAGCCGCGGTGATGTCCCTGCTACGGAGCGTGTGCTGTAAATATGCGACAGTGCGACACAGGAGCACGAGGACGTGCTCCAGTCAGGAGAGGCCGTGTTAGAAGCATAGACAAAAAGGAACGAAATGTCATCGCGTAGCGGGAAAATATAATCTGTGGTTCGAACAATGAAAAAGTCAAGATGGCGGGAACTCGGAAATTATTGAGACGGTGTATTTGGTGTTGAGGGAATTTTATTCTATTTGAAAGTCAATTTGCCTATTTATGTGTTGTTGTCGTTGTTTTTCTTTCCAATTAAGTTATGGTTTAGCTAGTCCTGATTTTGTAATTTGATTTCGATGTTAACAATATAAGGTGCATTGTAATGGTGGTAATCTTTATTTTTCCTGCCTCCTGAGTTTTTAGAATCATAAGTGGTTTGAAACCAATAAGTTTCTAATGTCAAGGAGTTGGGTGAGCTCTATGACAGTTTTTAAGTTTTCTAATAATACACATAATATTTCGCTCATTTGGACCAAGAACATTCTAGATTTTTATCAACTATCGGTAAGATCGAAATATAAGACTGGAAGTACCTACGTATACGTAACATTTCTGTATTTTCTGATACATTTAATTTCATCTTTATATTACTAATGGGTGTAAAATTATTCAATTTCGCGAAACGGTACATTTGTTTTAAAATAATCGTGCTTACATTATAATTTATAATAATTTTCATTATCAAATTCTAGGAGAGGCACCTGTGAGCATAATTGTATTTACTTTTACGTCAATGTAAATATAAAAGTATCATGAAAATAATGTCAAGTTATTTAAACCGTTCTATATAGGTAGAAGAAATCCTGGTCCTTATTTTTCAAACAGACATGAAATAGAAATGTTTTTAATTAAGATTGTGGTGGCCTGGACGTTAAGTTACCCGTTTTTTAGGGACGGATTTCAGACCTGGCGAGTACTACCTATGTGACTTTTCTACTATTACTTTCTAAGAATATTTAGATTCTACTGATAATCAATGAAGCAAAAATCGTAAAGGATTTACTTATGGTTGAACACAAATATGACTGAAACCGTAAGTCTTCAAGGCCCGAGTGAATAGGATGCTTATGGGACGACGTGCTCCATCGTAGACCGCATCATCGCTTACCACCAGGCGAGATAGTGGTCAAACGTCAGCCCATCAAATATTTAAAAAAAAACCGAGATCTTAATGAGAACAAACTTAAATGCACATTTAATTTTGACACATACACAGAGACTGGGACATAACACAACTTTACAATATCATCGACAGCTCGTAATGAACAGACCTCTGATGGACTATGAGACTACAAAGCGACCAGTAAAGTTCCAGAGAAATAATATCTGACAATTACGTTAATAATAGTAATTATGCATAACCTTGTACAAAGATGGATAGACAAAAATAATGTAATAATACACTTTTTCAAAAACAAGAAATTGATCTTGTTTGCCTCAGTTTTATTGATATTGACTTTAAGTAAATATCCTCACAGGTGGTCCTCATAGAAAATGGTAATTTTTATTATTATTACCGCGCACTATGACCGTCTCATTGATCTCATATTTGTAAGAGCAACTGTTAAATTCAAGATATCAGGATCAAGTAAAAATCCCGGTCACTCACTTGAAAATATTGATAAGAGCTTTCAGCCAGTAGGCTACGCGTAAGCGAACGCTGTTCATGAGGAAGAACCTCTCTATAGTTCGTAGCTTTTCTCAGTATTTTCACGTAAGTAATCCGCGATTTTTAGTTAATTTAGTATACGACAGTTATTATAAAAACATACCAGGATCAGTCAAAAAGGAAAAAGTACGTATAATGCTAAAGGAACTAATGACATAACTGATGAAAGATTATATAACTCTTTAGATTTGAAAGATTTAAACAAAGACTTGATTTGTATAGAAGCATTAATTTAAATTGTAAGTGTGGGCACCATGTTTGAGACGGTCGTATTAACTTTGACGTGACACCGACGTTTATTTCAAGATCTCAAAGCAGCTTTTACATTATCAAGTACTTAATACGTAATTCAAAGGTGGTTTAAGATAAAAAAAATAAAGAAAATAATTTGTATTAAACATTTTTAATTATATATATAAACACATTTGAAAATTATCACTACTAATTGGGTTTGAGGAAATTCCAGCTGTCACTGCAACTGTTGTCCTTCCATGCCGTTATCTGCATGTCTGGGATAAGGTCACAGCTCACTAGATCATTTCTGTAAATAAATAGAAACCCAAATTAAATTATTTATTTCAAAATTCACTTCGCGAAGGGAAGGAAGTTCAAGGAAGGGTAGAACTATTCCAATTTTCATTTGACTGCTTTTGGTCTACTTTGTCGAAAGGCTTACTAAGTTCCCGTCACACAATGAACTAGAATTATGTTCCGTTCATTACAGGTGGTTTCTTTCTATCATTATGGTAGTATCGTACCATTAGAAACTAAGAAGAAACCAAATTTATTTCCACGTGTTTACTATTAACATATCTACAGAAGAACGAAGTTCCTGTGGAGTTTCTTGCTCGTTCTTCTCCATAGGAATCTACACCTTCGAATGAGCAAATAGCTTAATTTTATTTTGTTTGATGACATTCAAAAGTGCTTTCCTGGTCTAATTGAAATAAATGCTTTTGACTTTGATATTGATTTACATCTAAATTAATTTTCTTTTCCCTCGACTCTCTGAAAGTTATATTTGCAGCTATGTTAGTAGGTATTATTAAGAAAGTGTTATCGTTTACTCACCCAGGTCCAATTCTGTGGAAAGCTCTCGGCTGTATTTGAGTTACAGAATCACCAATGTTACACAAGAATCTTGCTACAGTCATCTTCCTTATTTCTTGCAGTTGCTCTGCAAATAACAAACTCAATGACATCGTTTCTTTAATTAAATTGTGTTTTAGATTTTAATGTCTATCTAAATTTTTAAATAGCAGTCAATATTAAAATCGGTTGCTGTTATATTTTCATGATTTCATCTAGCCATTCCTTTATCTTTACCTACATTATTTTACTTAATACTAAAATTGTATGCCTTCAAAACAAAATAAAGGGTATGCTATTCTTTTTGTTTCTCTGTCCAGAGTTCCAGTTCCAGACTTACGTTAAAACAGGTGAATCTGAGTGGATTAACTAACATCTAATGAATATTCTTACCAAAAGTAAACGCATGTGGTCTGTTAGGTCTCTCATACCAATGTCTGTCAGATTTCATAGTTCGCAGCAACTGTTCTGCGAATATGGAGTAAAATATACGAGGCACGTGACCGCCAGGTATTGGCTTCTCTACCCACATAGCTGCTAGAAGATCTATGTCTTCTACAGAATCATAGATATTTGAAAGCTTCTCCAAAGTCTGTAAGAGAGAATTATTAAGATATTTAATTCCATTCCGGGGCACAAAATGTTTGCATAGCTGTAGGTAGTGGAAATACTATACTTAGTATGTGTCCATAATTTTCACCATTCTTATTCCTATTGCGTTAAATTTTCTGCTAGTTATCGGTGCATAATTTAGATTAGGCTCAGAAATAAAGCACAGTTGGGCTCGAAATAGGTTTTGTAAGCGTGTCCTCCTTTATGAAATACGTAGTTGTAACTCTTCTGGTTTTATAGTGACGACATTATTGCTTATAATCAAATGATCCGTCTGCTCATTTTCCACCTACCCTTCAAAAACTAAGGTGCATATACTTACCTCTGGTTCAAAGAATTCAGCTAAGTCTGCAAAACTATTGATTTTCTTTCCATAGAAGTGTTCTACGTATTTGATGTACGGTTGCATAAACATGAGACGATTTTTCGCCAAATCATTTGAAAACACATCTTGTGACGGTTGAACGTATCCTAGAACTCTTTCAGCCAACTGGAAACCATACATTATGTTAATAAAGTAACTATAATTTTGATCGCATCAGAAAAGTGTTGTGTTTTAGAGTCTTGGATCTGATGTAAATATAAAAAAAAACTGTGGTTAAAGTAATAGTCAAAAATATGACACGGTCGAAAATGTTACAATCACATTAAGTTGATTGCATGACGAGTTGACGGCACGGTTGGTGTAGTGGTTGGCCAACCGGCTGCCGCGCAACGTGTCGCGGGTTCGATTCCCGCACAAAGAATTTTTTTGTGTGATTCACAAACTGTTGTTTAGGGTCTGGGTGTGATGTGTGTATGAACCTGTATGTTTATAAACGCACCCACGACACAGGAGAAAATTCTAGATGGGGCAACGAATAATAAAAAGAAGAAGAAAAGAAAAGAAGAAGTTGAACATTTCTGAAAAACTTCAACTAATGAGGTGTTCAACTTATGACTTTCAAATAAGAAATGGAAAACTTACATCAGGATCAACAATATGGTCTCCAATCTTACCACTAGGTTGTCTAAACGCCCCTTGAGTTAGGTAATCAATGTTATTATCTACTCCCAAGTAACCTGTTCTTATTGAAAGGTCGACTACGGGCACCTTTTTCACGTATTCACCGTGGGGATTATATAGTCTGAAAAGGAGTAAATGAACGAATTACTTCTGACTTTAAAGAGAATACATTAAAAAAAAATACCTGTACTACATAGTATGTCATATTGGCCAACATTTTTCTTGTTGCATTTGTGTTAAACAGATACAATTGTATACTTGTCACTTCACAGATATTAGCTATTAGACTTCTCTTAATTGTTTTCTGAATTAACAGTAATTAGTAGGCAAGTAAAAATAATAACAGGTTTAATTCGATTCAAACTTTCTTCTACTTTTATATTCTTCATACTTACTTCAAAGTGCCTTCTTGAATAGTATGTGCCCACCGCAATGATAATGGGAACTCCAATGAAATCTGTGGTATGATCGCTTCATTGTAGATATCTCTGAAGCCATTGTAAACGATCACGCCATCATTAAAAAGATTCTCATATCCTGGAACATGTTAAAATCCTTACTAATATTATAAATCGGAAAGTGAGTTTGTTTGTTTGTTTGTTTGTTCCGCCTTCACGCCGTAACTACTAAACCGATTGCTTTGAATTTTTGCAGACGTAAAGTTAGAAGTCCGGATTAAATAATAGGGTACTTTTTATCCCGGAAAATTTTCATATTCCCGAGGGAAAACAAAAGTGTTGGTATAGATGGCGCTGTATGTATTGGTATATGTCACATAGACAATTTTTTATCCTTTTGTGACGCGAGCGAAGCCGCGGGTAAAAGCTAGTTATAATATAACAAGAGCTGAGATACTCCTTGGAGTCCTTTATCTTTCAATCGATCATCCACTGCATTAAAGATGCAGCCAGTCTTTAAACCACTTAACAATTGTAATAACTTACGTGAGACGTATTAACGTAATCTAGCATGGTTTGGAACTAGTTGAGTTTGAATAATTACATGAGTGAGCCGAAAAATATAATACGACACTCACCTGCCATCAAAGGTAGGAGTTCATATAACAATATTTGCATTTCAGTGGCAATGTTGATATCTCTTGCAGTGTAAAATAGCTTGTCATCATCCCAACAAGGGTTCAGCTTAGCCAGTTTATTTGCTATATGATTGTGGTTTCTCCAAAACCATACAGCCATCATATTGATAGTTATTAATGAGTTAGCTTCGGGAGACGCTGAAAAAGAGTCACAAAATGCATCATAGCATCTCGACAATGAAATACTTATTTGATTAACAACATGTTTGATGTAATTTGTTCTAGATTTGTACTTTGTTCTAGTATAAGACCTATTTCACTAATCATCCAATTTTCGATGACCTTCTTCTATCTTCCTCTAATATTCAAATCTGTTATTTCATTCAGGCGCTATGGTGACACAAGGAAAGTCAAAATTATTTGTTTTGTGTGGAGATTTAAACTATTAGATTACATTATAGTCTTCAAAGTTACTCGTTCCTCAATAAGTATTTAGTGTTACGGACAAAAGTAAAAAAAACTGCCTCGTTGGCCGAGTGTGCGACTGCCGGGCATAGGGTCTGTGGTTCGATTCCCGGATCGGGCAAAGTAATGCTGGGTTTTTTAAATAAATCTCAGTAGTATCACAAAGTCTGGAATTGTGCCCGATAAATGGCAATAGACTCACCCCCTATTACATAGGACTCATAACATAAATACTGAAAAGTTGGTGTTACATTGTACAGTGGCATTAAGTACCGTAATGTGCACCTCTGCCTGCCTCTTTGGGGGTAAAAGGCGTGATGTTGTGTTGTGTAAAATAAACAGATTAAAAAGAATAGAAAACTAACGTGTCTTATGGCATCTCGTTTCTTTCGGTTTTCGGTTCAAGAAACAGGTTTCGTTAATGTCTCGAGGTGGCCATATTCTGCCGTCTTCTACGTCATAATTCAGTAATCCACCTTCAAATTTTCTTGCCTCTAGAGATCTCTCCAAAAAGGATCCATAAACAGGGGACAAGTCAAACAAGGGCGTGGCAGACTGTATCTGTTAAAAAAAATTAATATGAGTAAATACTAGAAAAATATAAAATTCTTATGAGTTCTTAGATTATTTTGTTTTCCGAAACCAAATTACCAAATGCTTTTTAAGTTTATGATTTGGAAATAAGGAATATTAGAATAAAGTTATATTATAACAAAAGGTATCCCTTCATAAAAAGACTATGTCATTTGTAAAAAAATATAGCAACATACCCGTTCAGGAGGTGTATTATTCTTAAGACAACCAAAATCTTGGAACGTCAACGGTTTTGTCTGATTTAAGCAACGGATGCCAGAGTAGCGATGGACCGGGTCATCATGTGGCACTTCTAGAGGGGCGCACTTGGGATCGTCCTTGCCTTTTGGAGTACAGCAGTGTGGCTTCCACGCTACGTAGTTCACTGGAATGGTATGTATATAAGATGGTATTGTTAAGATTTTTGGCTTTACGAGAATAATGCATAAAATCTCTTTGGACTCATAAGAAGTCAGAAAAATAAAAGAAATTTAAAAAATAGTTAAAAAAGAAAATCAAGATTTTGAATCAATTACTGTTTGTTAGTCTTGCTGAAACCATAAGGGCTGGACTAATTTGGTTAATTTTTTTGCATATTTTATTATGTCTTAAATGTTTTTACAAATTCGTTCATTACAAAATAACCACGGGAAATCATTAATATAACATCCGTGAAATTTTCGTCCCGGGCGTGGAAAAAATATGTAGAACCTACCTGTGTCATGTGAATTGGAGATGTCAGCTGCGATGAAGACTAAGTAAGTTGATGTCAGTACAGAAAATACCTGGTCGGATACTTGACCCTCTGACAATAAAGTCGTGCGGAGTTTCCTTACAAGTGGCAATTTACCAGTCTTCGATTTCCGTGGTGCATAATCTGAAAGAAATATTTGGAAATTTTATTTTTTTGGCTTCGTTGTTGGTCTGGACATCAGGATTATGTTAATTATTTTTTGTTTTATGTTACCTTTGTCGTAAGAAGCCGGTAGCATCCGGCTAATAGGCGTGTGAGTAGCCCCTCTGGTCGGATTTCGAAGATTATTGCATGACCCATCAAGTCGTCTCCATTCTTTAGGGTCACATGGGGCAATCTCAGTCATGCACCAACTAGAATAAAAATACTATTTATGAGTTTTTGATAATGATGTTTTAATTTATATTTATTAGGTGAAGGAAAGAATATCCTTTTCAATTTTTTTTATGCACCTTAGCTACTATCTACTAAATTAGTACTTGTATCGAATGAAACTAGACGGTGTCTCTGCGGTGATTTCCGCAGACAGGATCGAGATCCCCACTCAAGTTGGGAAGCATGTACTAAACAAAACCCTTGTCCATCATAGGTCCTTCAACTGTCCCCGAGCTGAAGACGACCTAACGGGTTACCGGGGCTGTAGTTTAAAGCAGCAGATTGATTTTTGTCAGTAAGAGTCCGACACTTCGTTTTTGTTTTCTTTTTTTTTAAAAAACGTTGCCCCACACTAGAATTTTCTCCTGTGGCGTGGGTGCGTTTACAAACATACAAGTTCACATACACAATGACACCCAGACCCGATACAACAATTTATGGATCACACAAAGTGTTGTTCCGTGCGGGAATCGAACCCGCGACACCTTGCACGGCAGCCGGTTGCCCAGCCACCGCACCAATCGTCCTCCCGCCCCACCATAGGCGGGAGAGGTTATTGGATGTAGATGAAAATAATGGAAGAAGTTTGAGCTGTCCAGATTATACTCAGTCCGCGAAAAGAGGAAATATATTTGATAAAAAAACAACTTACAATGTTGTGTTATCTTTGATACGTTGCGCAACTTCATCCTTGCTCAAAGAAGTTCCAGTAAATGAATCATACGCGATTCCATTGGAGAAACTGAACACATTGCTGACACACAATAATATAAGTACAAACATGTTTACTTGTGCGAGTATGAGGTTTGACTTAAACAATATTCCGTATACATATTTCCTTTTATACTTAACAAACGATTACTTGAACAAACTCTGGTTATTGCTATGTAAAATATCTTATTTATCGCTTGTCTTAAGGTAAAGTAAATTGTATCATAAAGCAATAGCCATTGACTTCATTTTAGATAAGCAAGATATTATGTTCACGGACTATTAAGGGCGGTGGTGTTTTGCATGAATTAATTTATTGTTCCTCGAAGGTTTAAGAAATCCATTTTTTTTAATCAACAATAATAATGTAGGTATTCTAAATAGGTCGATTTAAGTGTAAAATATTATAATTTTTATTAACACTTCATGATTTTATTCATATCGCCTAATTGTCTATGTTTGGTGGTAATTAACCGTTTTTTATGCCATTGAACGGTGAACGAGCAGATGTATCACCTGATGGTAAGCAATCGGCAACCCTACGTTACATAGTGTTCATTTGAAAGTTTTCTTTTCTTTTATTCATTTAAAAATTGTTTTTTATTCGATTTTCGTTTTCGATTGTAAATTAATTAATTTATTTCTGTGCCACAGTAGAAGTCAGATGTTAGTAAGCACCTAGGCAAGATTTATACGATATATATATTTTAATAGAATCCCATCATCAACAAATTAATTAAAATTATGCAGGGTACAATTTCTGTAAAATCATTTTTTTCTTTTTTCAAACGTAACACTAGAATTTTCTCTTGTCCTTTTCTATGTCGTGGGTTCGTTTACAAACATACAAGTGAACATACACACGACACCCAGACCCGGAACATCAATTTCTGGATCACAGAAAGAGTTGCTCCGTGCGGGAATCGAACCCGCGACACGTTGCGTGGCAGCCGGTTGCCTAGGCACCGCACTAACCGTGTTGTCATTAAAAAATCGGTACGATTATCAATCTTCCAATCAATTTTCCGTGGGATATTTATTGAATATTTAGGAGAAAAATTAGAGATAGAGCAAGCAACACATTTTTTTGGTGTGGGTAGTCCTTTATTGGCTTAATACCCACGTGACTGTGATACACACTGTCAAAACTTGGCATAATCTCCTGCCCTACTTACGAAGATCCAGATCTCCTAATAGCACAGCCGCCGAAAATAATTGACTGCAAATAATAAGGTCATAAGTTTGGTCTGCGATGCACCGATCACTTGTAAAACTGTTTTTGGCTACTATTATTCACAGATCACGGCTCTAGAGGCACACGTACCTACGAGGGTGCAAAATAGAAAAGGAAAGAGCACATAAAAATCTACAAAATCTACAAATCTTTCAGATAACTTTCCAGGTAAAACTACTAATTACTGAACTATTTACATTTATGTAAATTTACATTTTAATTTCTTAAAAGTCGATCACGCTAGAATAAAGTAAGCATAACATTCGTAAAAAAATCGACCTTGCGAGTAAATTAATTATTAAATTATTTATTAGAGATATCTACATACAATTATGTAAATACAATTATGTTAAATTACGTGTGAAAGTAATAAAGGGTATCGCTTGATGATAAATAAAGACTGCCTACATAAACAAAATCGAGAAGTTGCTGTGCGATGTCCATGCGGAACGGACGGAGCTAACATCTAATTTAAACTATTATTAAATCAAGGGAGTATAACTGATCGTTTTTTTATTGTTTTTAGGTATCAATATACAAGGTGTAGTTTTGAAACCGTGTCATTTCTCGGGAGCATACCACAGAAGTCATAAAGGTTCAATGTAAGAGAAAGTTTTGGTCCAATAGTTGAAAATACGGCTATAGTAAATCGTTTAAGTTCGGCAGTATTTCAGAATAAGCGACAGCAATGTTTCTTATTGGAGTTTTATGGAATATGGAATAATATCAATTACGTGTTTGAGTTTGTGTGTCTTAAGCAGCGTTATAAAATTAGTTACAAGACGGCGGCGTGTAGTTCGCACTTACGGATTTCCGTAATTGACAAAAAATGAAAAATGTTAACCTACAAATTTTTTTATTGATTCGGACTCAGAATCGATAGCCGACTCACCTCCTAGAAAATGACGCGGCTTTAAAACAACACCTTGTATAATAACAAAGACACTCTTTCCAAAATCACACACAGTTTACATCGGTTAGGGAGACGTTCCAAGATTTTTGGTGAAAAACATTTACAGGATTGTCACCTTCATTATACAATTGTTACTTCAATTGTAACTAGTTTAAGTTTAAAACTATTAAACGTATCTTTATACTTTAAGCAATCATTAGGACAACGAAATAATACTAATCAACTTAAACTGCACGGTTGGTGCGGTGACTGGGCAACCGGCTGCCGTGCAACGTGTCGCGGGTTCGATTCCCGCACGGGACAACACTTTGTGTGATCCACAAATTGTCGTTTCGGGTCTGGGTGTCTTTGTGTATGTGAACTTGTATGTTTGTAAACGCACCCACGACACAGGAGAAAATCCTAGAGTGGGGCAACGTTTAAAAAAAAAAAAAACTTAAAACTATAATCCTCTCATTTTTTCTATAGATTAATATCAAAGTCAAGTCAAAATCAAAGTCAAAATCATTTATTTCAATTAGGCCAGAATGGCACTTTTGAACGTCAACAAAAACAAAAATTTAAGTGAAGCTATTTGCTCATTCCAAGGCGTAGATTCCTATGGAGAAGAACGAGCAAGAAACTCCATAGGTTACTCTTTTTCAATCAGGTTCACAATACAATTTACTAGTTACATAGTTTTGCTGTTTGGATTGTGCGAGAACAATGTAACACTAAAATCCAGTCAAAGTGATCAAAAAAGTAAGGACAGTAATACAGTCTGGAGCTGACCAGTCCCAGTTGACGGCGCCCGTTCACGAACATGACACGTACACCAGCACCGCCCAACTCAACCATATTGTAGGGAATCGAGCGATCCACTGCACGCGCCACCGCCAATGAGACCTTTGAGTGAGCATGACAACTCCAAGCTGACACAAATGAAATCTACTAATCTAATTTAATATTAAGTTAATTACAGGGCTCTCACATTTACAATGGTTATCTAAGTTAAACAATATACAATTTAGCAATATGGCTGTATTATTTACGATTTCATTAAAACAAGTGTTTTTAGTTATCCTGTGGAGCCGGACTAGCCTGCATCCAAGCATTTTTATCCTCTATATATTCATTAAGTTTGTAATATGCTTGTCTACATAAAGTTTTCTTTATACATAATTTAAATTTCGATTCATTTAGTTGTTGTACATCGCCTGGTATCTTATTATAACATTTAACACAGAATCCCATGAACGACTTACTTACTTTCGCTAATCTCGAAATTGGCTGACTTAATCTATTCTTATGTCTAGTTTGATAGTGGTGTCTGTCCGACACTTTACCAAATAACTGTAGGTTTTTCCTAACATACATAATGTTTTCATAAATAAATTGACATGGAACGGTCATAATGTTGATCTCCCTAAACCTTTCTCTGAGTGATTCGCGACGACCTAGATTGTAGATAGCTCTGACGGCGCACTTTTGTAAGATAAAGATAGATTCAATGTCAGCAGCGTGTCCCCACAGCAAGATGCCATACGACATAATGCTATGAAAGTAACTGAAATACACTAGTCTTGCCGTGTCTATGTCAGTTAACTGTCGTATCTTCCAGACAGCATAAGCTGCAGAGCTCAATCGTCCCGCTAATGATGTAATGTGAGGACCCCATTGCAATTTGTCGTCTACAGTAATTCCCAGGAAAGTTGTCTCTTTTACAAACTCTAATTTCTCACCATTCAATAATATGTCACAATCGTTGCTTTTAACATTTGGCAAAACAAATTTAATACATTTTGTCTTTTTATTGTTTAGTACTAAGTTATTTAATGTAAACCAATTATGAACTTTCATTAGGGCATTATTTACGTCGTCATAACTATTTGTGCGTCTATTAATTTTAAAAACTAATGAAGTTTCATCAGCAAATAATACCATCTGCGGCTCATTTTTAAATAAATGGGGCAAGTCATTTATGTACGCTAAAAATAAGAATGGACCTAGTATCGAGCCCTGCGGTACACCCATAGATATGCTAGCACCCTGTGAATTTACTTTATTTACTTGTACTTTAAGTTGCCTATCCTGAAGGTATGATTTCAACAGATTTAGCGACGTCCCCCGAATGCCGTAGTGTTTCAGCTTCAGCAATAGTGTCTCATGCTCAACACAGTCGAATGCCTTCGAAAGATCACAAAATATGCCGATGGCATCCCGTGCTTCTTCCCAAGAGGCGAACACCCGCTTAATTAGAGCTACTCCCGCGTCAGTAGTGCAGCGACCTTTGGTGAATCCGTATTGTTGATCATGAAAAATAGAATTCATGTTAAAGTGACGCAACATCTGAGAAAGCATCAGCCTTTCAAACACTTTGCTGAGCGCTGGCAAAATAGAGACCGGCCTATAGTTATTGGGTTCTGCACTATCACCGGATTTAAACAATGGAACTACTTTACTATGTTTCATTAAATCCAGGAAAACTCCGTGATCTACACTTTTATTAAAAATAAACGCTAAATGAGGCGCTATAGTCTCTATAAAAGATCTACTCTACACACTCTAACAGACATGCCCCAGAGATCTTCAGTAGACTTAACTTTGATCTCTTTGAACGCTTTAATTACTGCTTGGGGGTTTGTGTATTGAAATCGAAACTCAGAAAGGCACTCATTGATATTACTTTTAAGAAGTTCAACGGAAAGAGTCGGAGATGATTTCAATGCTTCCGTAGTTTTAATCGGAATATTTTTAAAGAAACTTTCAAATTCCTGTGCAACTTTATAATTTGAATTGATACGTCCATTCGCAATATTTAGATTAAATTCAGCACTACGTGATTTATTTCTACCTGTCTCGTCATTAATTATATTCCAGGTAGTTTTTATTTTATTTTCTGCAGTCTTAATTTTATTAGTAATGTAAAGTGCTTTAGCCTGCTTACAAACTAATTTAAACGTTTTTGAATATTTGGAGACATAAATGTGAAAAGCCTCACTATGATTAAATGGTTTCATACCGTAAAGCTCAAATAACCTTTCCCTACTTATGCGTATACCTGGTGTAGCCCAGTCACAAAATACCAACTTGCATTGAATGTTTTTGCGTTTTACAGGGAATAATTTATCAAATTGAGTTTTAATAATTGACAATAGGTTGGCGTAAATCTCACTCGGGTATTCACTATCATGTATTTGACCGCATAAATCATTTTTTAAATTATGATTTAATGACTCAATTTTTTTATTTGAGATCTGTCTAAACATAATTTCACTTTTTTGAACAGTTGTGATGGTGTTAAAGCTAACTGTCAGCCCACTGTGATCAAATGATAATTTATTAACAACATCTTTATGTAAATAATCACAGTTACAAAAAATATTATCTATACATGTTGCCGTGGTGGATGTTATACGGGTGGGCTCAAGGAAAACATTAGATAAATCAAAAGATTTGAAGAGACTTAATAAGTTAGTACAAATAGAGTTATTTTCCAAGAGATCAACATTAAAATCGCCACATACTATGGTACATCTATATATATAAAAGAAAGTCGTGTTAGTTACACCACTTATAACTCAAGAACGGCAGAATAGATTTGGCTGAAAATTGGTAGGGAGGTAGCTTAGAGCCAGGTGACCGACATAGGATACTTTTTGACCAAAATTTTTTTTTTACTTTTTACCGAAAATCACGAACGGGGACGGGAAAAAATGGGATTACGCGTACGAAGTCGCGGGCAGAAGCTAGTTTACTACTAGAACACGTTTTGTGCAGTACATCTTCCATTATGGAGCTAAAACTATTAAAATTTTGTGACATAGGAGGTCTATAAACACAGATTACAATATGCTTATCCAGCTCAACACAGGACAACTCTATTGTGTGCTCTATTGACAATAATGTAATATCTTGTCTTTCTTTATATTTCACTGAATTGTTAACTAAAATTAGGCTACCACCATGTATCATTGTTTGACGGCTAAAATAGTTTCCAACACAATAGTTTTTAAAATTTATAGATTCTACTTGATAATCCTTCAGCCAATGTTCAGTAATACAAACAATATCATAATTAAATTTTTCTAAAAATAATTCAATTTCTAGAGATTTTGATGAAAAGCCCTGCATATTTTGATTAAACAATGTTAACAACTTTTCTTGTTTATTCTTCTTATGTACTACTTTCATAGATTTAGACTTATATATACTGCCAGAAGATACCTTAACAATGCATGGAACATTTGTAACATTTAATTGTTTATCCTCTGTTGTCTTATTATTTAGTTTAAAAAGTTATCCAGAGTACCCACATTTGTCATCAAATCATGAGTCTCTTTCGTACTATCATAATAAGTACAGCTAATCTCTATATTATTAGATTGTCTACATAATATAGATCCGTCACTTAACTCGTCGAGTACCGGTTTTATAGACACAATTAAAGAACAATAGGTCGCGGTCACCGGTGACCGCTTGGTGTTTGACAGATTAAACTATTATAAACTAAATTAATACTATTTGCTAGCAAACTAGCAAGTAAAACTTTACATTTTCTAGGAATAAACATGTATTCCTTGGTCAAATTAAAACCACTAACAAATTTGTTAGTGTCAAAAAATAATAATTTGTCTTTATGACAACATGTCAGCATAAATAATAAATTATTTAAATAATATATATTTTTATTCTGTGATTCTGTCAAATTGTCAGAATACGGAAAAGCACACATTATTATGTTTCCTATTTTTAGTTTTAATAAAGCATCAACACCATCCACTATATCCCGCTTCTTTACCCCAGTACTATCACCCATCAACAACACTACCGGCTGAGTTTGTGTGATACATTGTTGTTTTATTTTTTGTATCATCTGACCAAACTTTATGTTACTATAACAGTAATTTGTTATACTGTAATTGAGGCAATTTGAAATGAGCGACCCAATACCTGCTCCTATGGAGTCAGTGAACACACTAACATTGCTGGTCATAGCTGGTTGAGTGACCGTATGTGATACAGGTATATTATGTTCCGGCTCAGGAGGCAGGGTGTGAGCACAACTACAAGAAAGGTTATTTGCTAGAGACTCATATCTCTCAGCACTATACGTTACTAAGTCTACTAGTTTACCTGCTTCAATCATGTGATTATTAATCTCAGATTGGGCGGATTCATACTTTTGGAACATCTGATTAAGGAATAATTCTCTCTGTAACAATTCTTGTCTAAGAGTTTGGATGTCCAAGTCATATACAGCCCTACTTTTTTCTAATTCATAATGGCAAGACTTTATTTCACTAACTAGTTTAACTTTTTGTTTTCTTAAATTTAAGTTTAGTTTAGATAGATTGTACCTCTTTTTAATTTTTTTAATTGTCTTATTCAGTTTAATGTATTTTTTAATTTTGTTGTGGCTGTTTAGCATGGTGCATACGGTTGATACAGTGACGGGATCATCGCCAGTCAAGTCTATTGTAATGGCCGGCTCACATGTGTCACCAGAACCACTCCCAATTAACTCTTCGTATAAGCTCTGAGTTTTGTCTGACATTACTGAGTGTTTAAGTGCCTCTAATGTATGTATTGTTTTGTAGGCTTCTCTTAATTCATGCTCCAATTGTGATATACGTGTTAGAGCATGTTCATGAGTGTCAGTGCACTGCTGGAAGGTAGTAACCTTTTTGAGTAGCAAATCATGTTGTTCAAGTAGGTCTGTGTGACACATATGAAGTTCAGCCAATTCAGTTTTAAGATTAGTGTTTTTATTAATAATATTTGTCACTTCCACTTCACTATCGTCCCGTTCCTGTAGCAGTTGGTTACACAGGTGCTTGGATGACTCTAATTCCTTTAGCGCTGCTCTCAGTTTGCACTCCATTTCCTTCGATCTGGTCATCATACTGATAGGGATGATACACTGAAATAAAAGAAAAAGGAACAGCAAAAAGACAGGGAAGATGACTTGAAATGAGGGAAGTTGGTATAATAATCAGTAAGATCTTGTAATAAGAACAAGGGGGAAAAAATAATAAGGAAAAGGACAGCTTTAATTGAAATTATTAATTAATATTGGTATGATGATAATTTTAATATTTTTTTAATGAATGTAGGTAGGAGGTAGGTGCCAAAGAAATTACTAGATTTAAATTTTTAGTCATTTAAGCTTGAATTCGTCATAAAATTGGGCTTATAAACATTAATTACACGACTACTTTGGTCTAAATTTACACTTCAGTAGAAAAAATTTGTAAAGTTTGTGTAGTTTCTTTGTTAGTGTTAAAAGTTTTCGTTGTCGTGTTCAACAAATTAGCACGCAAACTGATGACAGATATGTATGATTTAAAGAAATATGGTCTTTTGATTATTGTGTAATGATAGATTACAATAATTATCACTTATACTCCCCTGGTTTTAAGATTTGAATAAAACTTTTGCTCCGTGCGTTGGCCGTTGACAGCCCGCAGAAACTTTTCAATTTTGTGGATATATCTTTTGCCTTTATGTTGTTATTTTCTCTTATTTCAGTGTATCATCATTAGGTACTTCAACGTACCGTTCAAAGGAAATGGTAGGCAAGTTGAGAGTAATTTAAAGAAGGTGGCTTCATCCAAGCTGGCTTCAACCAACTGCTGCATGACGGGACGACAATGTAGTGGAAGTTCATAATACATTAAAACACTAAACTTCAAACTGATTTGACTCTGGTCGAGCCAGCCCCTTAGTGACGAAGCACGGCTCTTGTACATGAAAAAAAATATATATTATGGCACAGTTAATTTTATAGGTATATAAGGAATATTATAGATATTTTTTTGGGAATTTTCTCAAAAACGTATGTACATTAGGGATGATACACTAATGGGCCAATAACTATTACTGTCACTTGAACTAGTCTTTGCTTAACTTTAGGTATACTAATTTGAACTATGTGAATTAATTATGTGGTTGAATTACACTTTCCTCCAATTTTTTTATATCTATTGCATAGCAATAATTAAATACAATCGGCAGAGACAGATTTCACCCAATCTTGGCAACCACGAGCCACGGACAACGATTGGTATTCCTCGAGCGAGTATTGAACTCAGGTCACAATCGTAGTTGTGGCAATTTGCCGTGGCCGATCCGTACCGATACCGTCCGATCAGTACCTGAGTCACCTTCAGGGTTACTCTCGCGCTTCTCTATTCAGCCAGGCCGATATACCGACCTCAAGGCCAAATACTCAGTTGGTATTTACATTAGTAAGTAATACATCTATTTAAATGAAAGTAAATTGCTGTGACTGCCTCGTTAGCTGGCTGGTCGCAAGTGTGACTGCCGGGCAAGGGCTCTCGGTTCGAGTCTCGGGTCGGGCAAAGTATTACTAGGTTTTTTTAAAATTGTCAGTAGTAGCACGAAGTCTGAAAACGTGCCCGGTATATTTCAATAGGCTCACCCCATATTAGATTGGACTCATAACATAAATAGTGAAAAGTAGGTGGTACCTTGCCTACCCTTTCGGAAATAAAAGGCGTGATGTTATGATGATGACATTCAAATAAAAGTGCGTCGTAGATAAAATAAAAAGAGAAAATACATATAAAAAGCTTTATTTATTAAACATAACTATTAATATTACATTCTAATGAAATTTAACCCTAATAACTTGGTTGGTGGAAATCCCGGCTCTTGCGACAGCTGTTGTCCTTCCAAGCTGATATATCCATGTCCGGAATAAGACCACAGCTCACTAGTTCATTACTGTAAATAAAAATATAGAACCTTTTACAAATCGACTGAAAAGTTACGTGAATTTCAAAACTATAATATACAAATATATTACACATTTTTTAAGGGGGGAAAATCATCGAATGACTGCTCCCGCCTGTGTGTCAGACTCTTACTGACTAAAAACCACCCCGTTCCTTCTCCTGCACGTCGAGCCGGAGCCCCGGTTACCCGTTAGGTTCTCCGCGACTCCAAATCGGCATCGGCCCTATTGGGCCCCATCTGTGGTGGTCTGATGGCTCTTTGAGGCGCGCGCGGGATGCGACGCGCCGTACGCTCGGGTCTGTTTCTGGTCGGACGGGGAGCCACCCATGCTCGCCGTCCGCAGGCCCGCGCTTACGGTGGCTGGAGATCGTCCCGCGATCCCCGACGCCCGGTGTGTCCTTCGCGATGGCTGGGTTGCGAGGAGGCAGCGCTTCGCTGCCTCACGCGTCCCGCCTCCTCCTTAGCTAGCATGACTGCTTCGCAAAAGGAGGAGACGGCATCCCAGTCCCCCTCGCTCCGCATCATGGCCTGCACTAGGCCCGGGCGCGAGAGGTCGCCATCGCCGATCACTTCCCTGAGGGCACGGCGGTGCTCAGCCCACGCAGGGCATTCCGCTACGGTGTGTTCCACCGTGTCCTCAGGGCGGTCCTCGCAAATATATTACACTTCATGTACTCGAAGAGTAAGTAGTAGATTCTTTTAGACAAAACGATCCAATATTTCATTATTTTCTTTCAATAGCCTTCGGTCTTTGGAATGATAATATTGATAATAAATAATAAAATAACCACCGGTAGCTTGGACCATGCTCCCGCTACTAGTCGGCTCCTATTTTTTATATTTTTAAATATTAATTTTATGTTTTTGTAAGTAGTATGTATTTAAAAATGTAATTTATAGAAAATTTAAAATAAATATATGGAAATAAAATAATAAAAAGGAATAAAATGAATAGTATGGCATCGACTCTACTGGGACTAAATATTATTCATCTTTGCAACCACTTCTAATATGAGTTACTAATTACTCAACTCACCCAGGTCCAATTCGTTGGAAAGCTCTCGGCTGTATCTCAGTCACAGTGTCACCGACGTCACACATGAACCTTGCTACCGTCATCTTCCTTATTTCTTGCAATTGTGCTGTAAATAACAAATTCCAATGATAATATAGTTTTTTAATCTTTATTTTATAACTAGGGCTTTTCCTAAGATTGTTTCGACGATGATACGAGTTCTTCGATTAATAAATGAATGGTTTTAACAATCAACGATGTCTTTTGTATCCTTATCCATTTTACGTTTTATAATTTCATTACATGTTTTAAATATTGTTCCTTGTTGAAATTGTGTGTTGTTATAATTTTATTGGTTATTTTCCATTTTAATTTTTTTTCTTATAGCATAAGCCGGTAAACGAGCAGACGGATCACCTGATGGTAAGCAGTCGGCGCCGCCCATGGACACCCGAAACACCAAGGCGTTACAAGTGCGTTACCGGCCTTTTGGGAATTGGGAATTTAATGCTTTCATATTATATTTTTTATCTGTTTTTGTATCTAGAAAATCAACTAAAACAACAAAATACTTACCAAAAGTAAAAGCGTGTGGTCTGTTGGGTCTCTCATACCAATGTCTGTCAGATTTCATAGTTCGCAGCAATTGTTCAGCAAGTATGGAGTAAAATATACGAGGCACGTGACCGCCAGGTATTGGTTTCTCTACCCACATAGCTGCTAGAAGATCTATATCTTCTACAGAGTCGTAGATATCTGATAGTTTTTCCAAAACCTGTAGAATAAATGTCCATTGTGGTGAGTTTTATTATTTACTAGCGACCCGCCCCGGCTTCGCACGGGTGCAATATGCATGTATTATACATACAAACCTTCCTTAAGAATCACTCTATCTATTAAAAAAAAACCGCGTCAAAATCCGTTGCGAAGTTTTAAAGATCTAAGCATACATACGGACATACAGCGAAAGCGACTTTGTTTTATACTATGTATTGATTTAGGCGAAGTTAAAGTACAATTGCTTGTGTCCATCGTTATTTACACACCTTTTTTCTCCATAAATCAATATTTAATAATATGGTCATAATACCCGTAGGTCTTAGTAATAGGGTTCATTACTCATTTACTGGGAACATTCTGATGATCTTCAAAAATAGGCTCTAACCCTTAAAAGTTCCGCGCGCGCCTCAAAGTGCCATCAGACAACCACAGATGGGGCCCAACAGGGCCAAATTCGGAGTCGCGGAGAACCTAACGGGTTACCGGGGCTCTGACTCGACGTGCAGCAGAAGGAACGGGGTGGTTTTTAGTCAGTAAGAGTCTGACACTCCCTCCCGCCTTACCTAGGCGGGAGCAGTCATTCAATGATTTCCCCCCTTAAAATAGATCTGTATACTTACCTCTGGTTCAAAGAATTCAGCCAAGTCTTTGAAACTAGTAATTTTCTTTCCATAGAAGTGTTCTAAGTATTTGATGTACGGTTGCATAAACATGAGACGATTTTTCGCCAAATCATTTGAAAACACATCTTGTGACGGTTGAATGTATCCTAGAACTCTATCAGCCATCTGGGAACCATATGTTAGTTATATTATTACAAAGACAAGAAGACAAACTTAAAAGAAGGTATGATACTCATACACATATATTAATAGAAGAAGATCATATCTTGTTGTGATTTGAAAACGAACAGGTTGCTCATAGGTAGGCGTGCTCCATCGTCGGCCACATCATCGCTTACCACTAGGCGAGATGGTGACCAAACGTATAAAAGTATAATAATAGTATATATCAAGTATAAAAAATCATTTTTAATGTAACTGGAATTGTAAAGGCCATATAAGTAATTTTCCTTTTTTTTTCCTTTTTAGATAAAAATCGTTGCCCCACACTAGGATTTTCTCCTGTATCGTAGGTGCGTTTACAAACATACAATATCACATACACATGACACTCAGACCCGAAACAACAGTCTGTAGATCACACAAAGAGTTGTTGCGTGTGGGAATCGAACCCGCGACACACTGTGCGGCAGCCAGTTGCCCAGCCACTGCAACAACCGTGCAGTCAAATGAACATAAAAACATAAAAAAGTATGGAACAATATGTTAGTGAATCTTATGAATTTTGTTCATGTAGTGGAGGTTGATAGTTGATTTACTACACCTGCTAATACGCAAGTCTATAGTTTCATTTAAATACGAACCGGCGTTGATATTTTTAATTAAGTAACAATAATTTATCAGGCACCGGAAAAAAATTGTACGTAAGAAGAGACTTAATACATTTATAAGTATAAATATCCTCTTATTTCAATTCATCTTAAAAATTCAGTATCATAATATAGATTAATTAGAATAAAAGATAGAGATACTGTTAAAACCATATCAACTTCAATATTTCCTACAAAAATTTAATAGCAATTTAACTTATTTTCTTCTACATAAAATTCTATTAAACTTACATCAGGATCCACAAGATTGTCTCCAACCTTAGCACTAGGTTGTCTAAACGCTCCTTGAGTTAGGTAGTCAACATTATTGTCCACTCCCAAGTAACCTGTTCTTATTGTAAGTTCGACTAAGGGCACCTTTTTCACGTAATCACCGTGGGGATTGTACATCCTAAAATTTAAACAGAAAAAGAATTGACCGACACTGAGATAAATGACAAAAATTTTATAATGTCTTTATATAATACTAGCATTTACCCGCGGCTTCGCTCGCGTCACAAAAGAATAAAAAGTAGCCTATGTGACATATACCAATGCACACAGCGCCATCTATACCAATACTTTTGTTTTTCCTCGGGAATATCAATTTTTCCGGGTTAAAAAGTACCCTATTATTTAATCCGGACTTCTAACTTTACGTCTGCAAAAATTCAAAGCAATCGGTTGAGTAGTTACGGCGTGAAGGTGGAACAAACAAACAAACAAACTCACTTTCCGATTTATAATATAAGTAAGGATTATTCCTTTTTTGAGACAGGTTAATCGTCAGGTGACTCCTTCCAGTGACGTTAGGTAGGAGGATGTGTCAACTTTTACTGACTGAAAACCACCTGTTCCCAACTCCTAGCTTGTGCCGGGTCCTCGGTACCGACATGGTGACCTACTCGAGACTCTGACTGTGCAATGATTCTAGTAGGCCCTGTTTGTGATTGCCTGAGCCAGGCGCACGGAACGCGATGTGGCTTGTGGGCCACTCCTGAGTGGGCTTACTCCTGAATCCAATTCCAATCGATCGACATTGGTAAAGTGAAATTTCGTACTCTTGAATTTAAACATTAGCGCCTATTGCGTCCGTATTCCGTGGAATACCCACTGATGAACTAAATGGTATTAAGTTTGGTTTTATAATCCGTACTCTGAATGCTATTTTAAGAGCTACGATAGGGGTTGAATAATTTATTTTGACATTGGATAATTATTGAGTTTTCATTGGATTGTAATTGCATTAACATTGAGATTGGTTTCAAGAGTAAGCACCCAGTTCGTAAGTGACGGTCGTGACCGTGGCACATTCATTAAAGAAACTCTTTAGTTCAAATTCCTATTTATTTCTTCATACTTACTTTAAAGTCCCTTCTTGCATAGTATGTGCCCATCGCAAGGCTAATGGGAACTCCATTGCCATCTGTGGTATGATCGCTTCATTGTAGATGTCTCTGAAGCCATTGTAAACGATCAAGCCATCTCTAATGAGATTTTCATATCCTGGAAGAGATAGCAAAAACTTATCTGACTCTATGGTAGATTTTCAACTATGTAGTAATAAATTCTAAATGTTAGGTGAGGTTAATCCGGTTATTTTGAATTAAAAATATAAATAGAAACAAATATAAAACATTAATGAACAGTTTTAGATGCAAATTCATTCACATCACATTTTATAATGAGGTTGTGTCATATGACCATTAATGTGAAGTTTTATTTTAAGTTCAGTAGTTATGTAATCGCTTTGTTTTAGTGACTATTATTTTATTTATATTGAAATTTTTTAACATTATTCCAGCTAGAAAATTTTGCTTACGATTATATCACAATAAGCATGGCAATGGCAATAGGCTCATCCACTATTACATGGGACTCATAACATAAATAGTGAAAAGTGGGAGCTACATTGTACAGTGGCATAATCCTAAAAATTTTATTCCTGTTCAAAACGACACTCACCTGCCATCAAAGGTAACAGTTCATATAGGAATATATGCATTTCAATGGCAATGTTGATATCTCTCGCAGTGTAAAATAGTTGGTCATCGTCCCAACATGGATTCAGCTTGGCCAGTCTATTTGCTATATGATTGTGAAGTCTCCAAAACCAAACGGACATCATATTGATTGTAATTAAAGTGTTCACTTCATCTGACGCTAAAAAATAAAAAACAAAATACTAATTGAGAGGGTGTATCAGACTCTTATTAACTAAAAAAAGCATATTTACGGTCGAATTGAGAATCTCCTCCTTTTTTGAAGTCGGTTAAAAACTACCCCGTTCTAATACCCACCACCCTGGACGGGCATCGGCCCTGGAGGGCCCCATCTGTGATAGTCTGATGGCTGTGATGGCCGAGTGGCAAGCTACCTGTGCTCACTATTACTTATTTACAGTGTAACACAAGTTTGGTCAGTAAAAATACAATCACCGACCTCGAAGAAACTACAAAAATATTAAATACCTGACTATCTCCTGACTTATTTAGGATGATTCTATATAAAAATGCAGTAAACAAACAGTAAAATATATTCAAAAACATAGAAAGCTCACGTGTTTTATGACATCTTGACTCTTTCGGTTTGCGGTTCATAGTACAGATAAGTTCATCAGGATCCCGTGGTGGCCATACTCTGCCCTCTTCTACTTCATACTTCAATAAGCCACCTTCGAATTTTCTTCCCTCTAGAGCCTTGTCCAAAGAGTTTCCATATACAGTGGACATGTCAAATAAGGGTGTGGCAGTCTGTATCTGTGTAACAAATTAAAAATGACTTTGGAAAATCTCAAGGTACGATTATATGTATATATAGTTTTCAAAAAATAGTTCGTTGTCGGAGTGGTAGCAAATGCGACTGCCAGGCGAGGGGTCTCGGATTTAATTCCCGGGCAGGGCAAACTATTACTGGGTTTTTGAAAAAAAATTCAGTACAGAACAGAGAACAGAGTATGGAATTATATACGGTCTATGGCAATGGCAAAGTCAAAGTCAAAGTCAAAAGTCAAAAATCATTTATTTCAATTAGACCAGGAAGGCACTTTTGAACGTCAGCAATAAAAGTGAAGCTATTTGCTCATTCCAAGGTGTAGATTCCTATGGAGCAATAGGCTCACCCCCTATTACATGGGACTCATAACATAATTGGTGAAAAGAAGGTCTTACATTGTATAGTGACATTAAGTGCCCCTCTGCCTACCCCTTCGGGGAGAAAAGGAGTGATGTTATGATAGTTTTAAAAAAAATTTGCTATGTACCCGCTCAGGTGGTGTATTTTCCTGACGACAGCCAAAATCTTGGAACGTCAATGGTTTCGTTAAGTTTAAGCAACGGATGCCAGAGTAGCGATGGACCGGGTCATCATGTGGCACTTCTAGAGGGGCGCACTTGGGATCGTCCTTGCCTTTAGGAGAGCAGCAGTGTGGCTTCCACATTATGTAGTTCACTGAAATGTTTTATTAGAAATTAGCATACTTTGACGTATTTTTCAAAGTGTGTCAAAATGATAATATGTATATTAAGAATAAAAAGCCTTTTTTGTTTGCACCGTTATAAAAAATAAAAACAAGAAAAATACTACTTAAAAAAATTAAATTGTATACACGGTGCAAAAAGGCCAAGTGCTCAACTAAAATGCCGTGATGCCGAGAACGATAACTCGAGTCGCCGCGCTATTTTCAGCACAAACCCGTCACTATAATTAAAATGAATAAATAAGAATAATTACATTACTTTTTTTATACTTTATAGGTCGACGTTTGACCACCATCTCGCCTGATGGTAAGCGATGATGTGGCCGACGATGGAGCACGCCTACCTATGAGCAACCTGTTCACTCGGGACTTGAAGACACCCAAGTCATATTTGACGGGAAACACAGCCTCTGGCAAGGAATTCCATGCCTTAGCGGTTCGCATGAGGAAGCTTGATGCGAAACGCTTCGTTCGAATGGGTGGAATGTCCATTATACATTACATTAATATAATCAGATATATAGGCATAAAGTATCTTAAAAAATACTTGATTTATTTAGATCTTACCTGTGTCATGCAGATTGGAGATATCAGTCGCGATGAAGATTAAGTAATAAGATGCTAGAACAGAAAATAATTGGTCCGGCGCCTGACCCTCCGACAGTAAAGACGTGCGCAGTTTTCTCACAAGTGGTAATTTACCAGTTTTCGATTTTCTTGGTTCATAATCTGAAAGAAATATTAAGTTAATTGAAAGAAAATGGTTTTTGGCCTATTTTACATTGCATTGAGAAATTGTATATAACATAACATAACATCACGTCTTTAATCCCCGAAGGAGTAGGCAGAGGTGCACACAGAGGTAACACCCACTTTTCACTATTTATGTTATGAGTCCCATGTAATATAGGGCCTAATATAGAGCCTGACCCGTGAATCGAACTCGAGACTGCTTGCCGGTCAGTCGCACTTGCGACCACTCGGCCAACGAGACAGGGCAACATGTAATATAATTATTACTATAAATTTAATTTAAAGTCAGTTAATTAATTTTATCTTACTTTCGTCATAAGATGGCGGTAGAATCCGACTAGTAGGCGTGTGGGTTGCCCCTCTTATAGGATTTCGAAGATTATTGCATGACCCATCAAGGCGCCTCCATTCGTTGGGATCACAGGGCGCAATGTCAATCATGCACCAACTAGAATAAACAAACATAACTTAGTTTTTTTGGACTAATGCAGAACCAATAAGGTGAAGAATTTTCATGCTATGTATTTATTGTCTGCAATTATCTTCAGTCCGTACGTGACTGAAGATAATTACATAATACATAACGCAAGAACTTGACAAGTTACAAATTTTGGGAGTCTTCCTGGATCTGGGTAAGGCTTTTGACATAATTTCCACTCTTCTTTTGTTGCATAAGCTGGAGATTATAGATATAAGAGGAATGCTGCTTAATTTTCTTCAAACTTACTTAGAAGATCGCAGTCAGTGTATAGGAATCGAGAGTAAGTAAAGTCCTTAGTGATGATGTAAATAACACCCCCTATGGTGTCCCACAGGGGAGCATATTATCGTCTAAAATGTTTTTAATATACATCAATTACCTATGCAATCTCAAGCTGGAACACGGCACAATCGTGTCATTCGCTGACACCTCTCTACTTTTTTCTGCTGACTCTAAAACTGAGGTCTATAGACTTGCGCAACACGCATTTAATAATGTAAATAACTGGCTTCGGTGTAATTCGCTAACATTAAATACAGATAAGACGCACTTCAACAAATTCGGAATGAAAACCCTGATACTGTTTCAGCCTTATATGCGATGTAACATTCTTGACTAATATATGTGACTGATTATTAATCAGAGTACTAATGTAAAATATTTAAGTGTAATATTAAATGAAACTCGTTCTTTTAAACTGCATCTGGGCGATTTAATCAGTAGATTGCCTAAGATCTTATTTGTATTCAAAAAACTACGTTACATTGCTGACCCGTAAATAATGAGACAGGTATGTTTGACTTTGTGCCAATGATTATTGACTTACTGTATTACCTATTGGGGTGTTACGGACAAGACTCTATTGCTTTCTATCGAAACGTTATCATACATGACATAACCTCTATAACTGTAAGAAAATTCAGAACGAAGCCCTTCAAAACATGTCCTATGAAGACACAGAGAAGTTATTATTTTTTCCTAAATAATAATAATAAAGTAAGCTCCCAATCTCTTATTTATATACTACATATCCTCATAAACATATTAAGGATACAATTTAGGTATTAATAAATACAACTTAATATTGTCATAATTTACCTTAACTTAATAATAATGTTTAATATCTTTACCTAACCTCGCCTGAAACACAGGATGTCCTAGTTCAGGCACTTTATATTGTGGATTTTGTATACCTTTAAGCAAATCTTTAGATTATTAATTATGTTTGATTATTTATTAATTTAGATTATTATGCTTGATTATTTTTTTGAAATATTTGTTTTATTTAATTATTTATCGAACTAACCATACCCGATGGAGTCTCTGGACATACGCATATAGAACTGGGATCGAGTGTTTCCAATAAAGGCTATCCTTGAAGCCCAGCTGGTGGTATAAGGCATCATATTGGGTAACTGTTTCAGAGATCCCTCATCTATTCAGATGGGCACGGAGCAAAACCTGAGTGCACCTAGCTGTAAAAGTATTAATATATTGAAAATAACTTACAATGTATTATTATCCCTGATATGTTGTGCAACTTCATCTTTACTTATAGGAGTTCCATTGAAAGAATCATACGCGATTCCGTGGGCGAAACTGAACACATTGCTGACGTACAGAAATAACACCACAAACATGTTTACTTGTGCGAGTATGATGTTTGACTTAAACAATAATCCGTATACATATTTCCTTATATACTTAATACACCATTATTCGCACAAACTCTGGCTATTGTTACACGTGAAACATTTTATTTATCTTGAAGTCACAGAGGGATTCTTCCTTATGAGCAGCGTGGGCGGTCGCGACGATGTCGCGCGTCCTACAGCAAGAACATCTCTGTGGTTCGAACTAGTAGAGCTTTTCTCAGTATATTCACGTGAGTAACACGCGATTTTTAGTTAATTTAATATTTCTCACGATAGTTATTATAAAGACATGTATTTAACCACAGATTCACCAAAGATTTAAATAACATAGATAACCTTCCGTCTGACATAGGTAGGTGCTTACCAAACACTCATTCACTTCTCCTCCTTCACAATACATTTAAAACTGCAATCTCCCCATTTATACAGAGGAGGTCCCTAGTCCAACAGATACCATTGATTATTGTTGGTGTAAAAACAACACGTGTACCGTTTAAGCAGTAAGGAAACAATTTTTTTAAACGTTGCCGCACACACACTTGAATTTTCTCCTGTGTCGTGAGTGTGTTTACAAACATACAAGTTCACGTAAACAATGACACCCAGACCCAAAACAATAATTTGTGGATCACACAAAGTGTTGTTCCGTGCGGGAATCGAACCCGCGACACGTTGCACGGCAGCCGTTTGCCCAGCTACCGCACCAACCGTGCAGTCATATAAAGTATATTAAATTTTTTTCGTCGCAATAATAATTAAAAATCTGTAATAACATAATTATTAATGTACAAATGTTTTATATCCGTATCTTTTGATATTATCTTGACAGTACTAGACATTATGACGTACTTACCTAAAATAGTTGTCTTATTAATAACCGTGTGAACAACGATATAAATAACCTATTTCCTGTGACTAGATCTATACAAAAAATATATATTATTAACTGCATAACAAATCTGTACATGTATTAATAAATTCATTAACTTTTGTACTCTGTTTTGTTTGTTAATTTCGTATTTAAAATCGCGTTCTAAGAATCTCGTGTGAAGCGAGTCTGAATATGGAGTGATGTGATTGTATTGCATTTTTTTTATGGCATAATCCCGTAAATGAGCAGACGGATCACCTGATAGTAAGCAATCAGCGTCGCTCATGGACACCTCGAACACCAGAGGCGTTACAAGTGCGTTAGGAGTTTGAGGATAGATGGGGATTCAGGAATTGGAGAGATTGGGGAAGGGGAGGGTAATTGGGCCTCCGGTAACCTCACTCACACAACGAAACACAACGCAAGCGTTGCTTCACGTCGGTTTTCTGTGAGGCCGTGGTATCACTCCGGTCGAGCCGGGCATTTACTGGCCCTCACATTTTATTTGAATGTAGGGCATATCTTTAATTGATGTAAACACTACTCTGTATCCCTATTATTTTAAATGTTTGTGTTTATATCTTATCTTATAATTCTTGTACTATTATATAAAGCGGAAGAATTTGTTTGTTTGTTTGTCTGTTTGAACGCGCTTATCTCCGTAACTACAAGTCAGATTTGAATAATTCTTTTTGTGTTGGATAGCGCATTTATCGAGGATAGCTATAGGCTATAAAACATCACGCTACGACTACGGAGCTGAGCAGAGCGTGGGAAATCGCGCGGAAGTAGCTAGTTGTTGATATGCCTAAACAAAAACAAAAACATGATGGTACCTGCTAGGCTAGTCTTAGTATAGAAAGGATTCCGCTTCCCCTAGTCATCCTAGGTCTTCGGCTCCCATCGCGCGTACGCTTTTTGAAGTGCTGCAAATTTCGAAAAATGTTCGACAACAATATTAATTCAATAGTGGTTACATAGCTAATGGAATTTGACCTTACAACTTCCTAAAATATCGAATAAAGCAAAATCTAAAGTAAGTTATGAAAATCTTTCACTTTCCTACGTCAAAAATATGTTCTTTATATTCTAATATTTGCATGATATTGCGTTTCTGCCAGCTGTATGCCGGTTATATAACCTACTCTCCTGATTTCCTCGAGAGCTTTCCAGAAACACAATATTTAGGATATTGTTTCTAGAATATTCTTTACAATACCCTCTGTGTATGCAAAACGGAAAAGGAATAGGTAAAGCTAACTAGTTTTGTAGACAAATATACTATATTAACATATGTAATTATAGAACAATTCATGAATCGTTTTTGTACTTGCACACAATTAAATACGGGAACTTTTGTAGATAATCAAGCTAAGTTTACTTAGATGGAAACAAAGGATAGTTTAAATTATTTGCATTGACGTATATAGAATAAAAATTTCAAATAATTAATGGAAAATAGTGTTTAAAATTAGCAAACATTGTTTTTTCTTTTATTGAAGGTCCTCTAACATTAGAAACAATACCTATTAGTTTCTGGTCAAAACGTAAAATCGACCAAAAAAATATTATTTCCGTTTCGCAAAAATTTCAAATCATCTGAGTACCAACTCAAGGAATATACAATTTTATATTAGATATTTAAAAAAAAACGTACCGCCTACATTGAGAAACTCCATCTTTTTGAAGAGTCGGTTCTCAAAATAGGAGTTTCTCAATTTTGAAAAGTTGTTTATAGAACTGATTACTACTTTTGTGACATTGACTTGAATTAATTTACTATCTTAAGTATCTTATCTTTATCTTTTATTACATATCTTTTATCTTAAATATCTAATCTTTATCTTTTATTACATATCTTTAATCTTAAGTATCTTATCTTTATCTTTTATTACATATCTTTTATCTTAAGTATCTTTAGTATCTTTATTATTCTGAAGAGACAAACTTACGTAAAGTGAGAAATTATCCCTCATTACAAAGTCGTTAAGATATCACTGCGACATTCAGAGACATTTAAATGAATAATAATGTTTTTTTTTTGTACAGATTTTGTTCCGATAACCATTGGGTACTTGCCAACTAGTCAAATTCAATACTTTTTCAAACTGTCAAGAACGACAGTTTTCTATGAATTTAGAACGAGATTGTGTATTGTGACGTTACGTTTTTTTGCGTCGAACAGAATATCTCCTTATTTCTTAAAAATTAGCCGGAAAGAAACTAAAATAAAGTTGGTCGTAAAATCAATAAATGAAAGTGAGATAATTTTTTAATATGTTATTGTATTGAACTTGAATTCGTATTGTAACTTTCGTGAGACATATTATCCGAGAGTGCTTTAGTATGTCTGTTTTAGTACCAACATACTGCATGTGTCTGTTTTCCGTGTGTGTATTTAATTTGTATTTGTTTTCTGTATTGTTTTGTCTGTTTAAATGTGCTTACTAACATATTTTTGTATTTTTGATTTTGTTACTAACACAGTGGACCATTGATGTCTTAAATAAATAAATGATTGATTGATTGATTAAATATATGTCTCTACTCACGTAATAGTTTGACGAGGAACTCGACTAGTTTCAAGCCATACTAGAGGCTCATATTCATGAGCAGCATTCGCGACTCGCGACGTCACGCGACGCGACTCGTTTTTGACACACGCGGTCACACGCCACAGTCGAATTCCTTTAATTTTGATTAAGGACAGTACCTAATTCGTAAGGGAGTAAAGGAACCATTAAACGTGTCTGAGTACCGACGGTTGGTCATGCAAATTATTTGAGCGTTTAACAGTTAGCAGTGTAGAAAAACAGTTATCATTAATCTACAACTTAGGTACAACCCTTGCTGTCTTTTGCAGTGCAGTCCCTTGGCCAACCCGAGTGACGCAAACAGTTAATTACTGTAACAAACTGATGACGTCGACACGTGTACCTCGTTATGTTCACACTGTGAGTTTGACCGGTGCGCTGTGGTGCTAGTTGCAAGCGGTAGCGGTGGGAGATGATGTGGTAATTTTGTGGTCGAATTTAACATAACGTAACGCCTTTAATACCCGAAGGAGTAAGCAGAGGTGCACATTACGACACTTAACCCGTCGTGTGTCGGAACGTAGATCTACGCGAGACATAATGCATTTTCTATTGTGTCTTATATACCGGCAGTCAAGAGGTTAATGTCACTGTACAATGTAACACCCAGTTTTCACTATCTATGTTATGAGTTCCATGTAATAGGGGATGAGCCTATTGCCATATACCAGGTACGTTTCCATACTACTAAGATTTTTTTTAAACCCAATAATACTTTGCCCGACCCGGGAATCAAACCCGAGACCCCTTGCCCGGCAGTCGCACTTGCGACCACTCGGCCAATGAGGCAGTTAGTCGTGGTCAAATTTATTTCTTATAAAAACTTTGTTCCACATTAAGATTTTTGCGTCGTGGGTTCATTTACAAACATACAATTTCTCATACATAATATGACACCCAGATCAGATACAACATTGTGGATCACACAAAGAGTTGAGTTGCTCGGTGCGGCAATCGAACCCGCTACGCGTTGTGAGTTGAATTATTATTAGCTGCGATATATATGTATGTTTATTAGATATAGGTGGAATTGGCAACTGAAAAAAATAATATATCAATTACATAATACATTAATATATTAATGTATCTTATCAAACTGTAGGTACACGAGTCAAAAATCTTTCGATAATCTAGACTATAAAACTAGAAAAAATAATAATTCGCGTAAACTTTCACTAGGCAATTGTTTGGAAATCTTACTAATTATTTCAAGTAATGATAAATCGCTCATATCCCATAGTATGCGCCTATTTAAATTCTACTAATCGATCGTATGAAGTTAGTATAATTGGCGAAAACTTTGGAACGACTGCTTTCAAATTAATTGTTATAAACTAATGTTGATTGCATTGCATAGTTGACGCGATTTTAAACGTTAATCCGGGAAAAAATAAAGGTTGTTTTAGTTCAGCGGTTTCATCTATTTATATTATAACTATCAGTTCTAGAATAGGCTGAGTAGAATAGTAATAACACAAAATGTTCTAAATAACGGCTAATCTACACTACTTAGCTACTCT